TCCTACCAACACTTCTTCCGACCTCCCAACTACCATCATTATCAGTATTTTTTCCTCACTATTTGGTCAAGGGAATTCATACTTCGCATATCATCCAGCGTCGCATTGCATGTTGTGTTGATGAACATAACTGCGGTTGTTGTCGATCGACTGTGGAACAGCTCGACAACTCGAGCACCGTCGTCGCCAGCGTAGGTCGTATTTTCAAGTCCCGTCGAATGCTAAATTTCTCCAATAACCCTAATGTATCTCGTTCCTTCTCTGCTCTTATAATATGTAGTCGTCTTGATAATGGAAAAGGGTGCGTAAATTCGGTGATGGATCACAGCGGGTGGAAAGTAAGGAAATGGCGACTGTGGTTTTCAGGATCCAACAATAGATAAATCTGTAGGCCCAATTTTGAAGACCGGCGTGTACAAGGGTGGGTATCTTAATGGAAGGGAATTGATTTATTCTAAATCTGAATGGTGACTGTATCGCTCGCTCCAATGGGTATCAAAGTTAATCGAATCGCTTTTCTTGACAAACGGTGAAGGTTGATGGATGGATGTGCGAAGTTGCGACAATTTGTGTGTAGTTGGATTTGCCTAAAGAGAAAGCAGAAATCTAGGTAGCAGACCAGTGCATGAAGATGAAGTTTTGGAAAAGTCGAAAATGGTCTAGGGCACCAGGGGGAGGGGGAAGGATTCGAGGACAATTGGAAGATAGGAAATGGCAGAGTGAACAAAAGAGTGTGAATAAGTGAGGGAAGGGAAGTAAGAAATGAAAAGGTTTGAAAGACAAGGAATATAAAATGTCAAGGGCCAAGATGGTGCAGTGCAGTGCAGTGCAGCAAGTGCGGATCTTTGAACTGCGGCGTTGTAAATAGTATGTATGCCTGGTAGGGAATGTATGAAGTAAGAAAAGGCGTGGAAGGTTGGGGGGGAGGGGGGGGGTTGTTGGATTTGTTGGTTGTTTGTGGTTTGTGGTTTGATTCACCAGTGAATTTCGTCGAGAGAGAAGTTAGAAGAGGGAGAGAGATGGTGATACCTGGTAAAAGTAAGGGTCACAGCTTGGTCAGTTGTAAAAGTTGTAAGGAATGTGAATGTGGAATTGAATGTGAAATGGATGGATTTGCCTAGGTAAGTAATTGTAATAATAATAATAATAAGTGGTAAAAGAGGCTGTGCAGCTGTGCAATATCGGGACACTATACCATACCATAACATCCATATCCATATCCATATCCATAACATCTGTATCATCTGTATCATCTGTATCATCTGTATCATCTGTATCATCCCATCCCATCCCCATCCCATCCCGTACCATACCTACCTAGTCATGATCAAAAGTCTCTTTGTAGATAGTTGGGTAGCTGGACCTTATTTTACCCACCATATCCAGATACACACACACACACACACACACCACCAGCCAAGCAAAAAGGCTATCGTCTTCGTGATTGTTCACTCACCAAATTAATGTCTTTCATCATCATCAATCGGATATTTCTGTCAGAGCAGAAAGTAAAACTGGAGAATGGAAAATTCCACCCATCTGTATTATCCGGAAGTGTGATGATTAACTCCGTGAGATGTGCTTGGGACCCTCAGGTAGACGGATGATGTTACAGAAAAACCGACCGACTGACGACTCTTTTTAATCTTTGGAGATTCCGCCAAGAAAGGCTCATTTTAACATGCCATGATTCAAATCACCACCTGAACACATCCACCGTACTGACATACATCTACACGAAGCCGTCTGTTCATATTAGTCATCCAATGCTTCATTATCCGTTGTCCGTTAACCGTTTCATCAAGCTAAAGAAACTTTATCATCCGAAATGTCTTGAATATTAAATCATTCACCAGCACCAGCGATGGAGGAATGAATGATCTATCTCTTCTATCTCTTCTATCTCTTCTATCTCTTCTATTTCTTCTATCCATTTCACCCATTTCATCATGAACAAGATAAAGTCTCTCTCTTTTCATCTGCAGCCACACGCTAGTGTGCTACCACGGAATACTATACTCATCACCAACTAACATGGTACTGTTACGATCAATGCCCCCGGTGAATGGCCCATCACTTACATCTTTACGCGCGCCAAACACAGCCTTGGCCTTGCCTCGCTCGTACTGTGCAGGTGGGTGGTACAATGTCCAAGCCATCTTTGCTATTTGCCTGGACCGCATTGCTATTTACCTAGGACCGTATTGCTATTTACCTAGGACCGTATTGCTATTTACCTAGGACCGTATCGCTATACATATACGAAGTATACGCGAATATGGAGGAGCACGGTAAGAATCGTGCGAGCGTGTGATGAAATGAGACAATCATAGCTCCCTACCTAGTCTGCTAGCATACATGTCTATCCTGATAAAACATCGATCATCACTACTCTTTGATCGAGACTACCAACCTCCAAGTACACCTCCATCTCCTACGTTCCCACTTACATAACACGCACACGAGTATTGCTTTACTTCATATTGCAATCGATACCAATTTCTACATCTCGAATTCCAATATCGAAATTGCTGGAGATACATCCCGTGAAACAACACAGCAAAGGGGCTCGGAAGCACCTCGTCCATACAAAAAGTATGGACCATGTGGAATCGGATCCTATTCTTAGAAATCCCAAGAGCTTACCAACCTATGTGATATTAGGATGAGCCTCCTTACGTGGGAAGGAAGTTTGGATTTTCAGACCCAACTTCCACTATCCTTATCACCTACGTACACAGCCTTTCGCTCCATGGATCAATGGCTCTAAACTACCCTACGATACGACACGAGATGACATATATAGCCATCCGCTCTTTCACATTTATTACGACCAACATATTTTCAATTAATTATCTGCTGCATCGCATTACCTTACTAGGATTTGGAAAGTCCACAGAATACGAAGATCATGATTTAAATCCATTCCATCAAAGTATCAGTATGGCGTCAATGAAGTACGACTGACTTCACACGCATAATTTTCACAAGTGTGGAAATACATCCATCTTCCATAGACCTCGAATGAATCAACATACTCGATTCAATCCTCGTCATCCTCCCAAGTGGAACGGATAATAATCCCGTGAAACAAAGAGTCTTGACCTTCATTCATGCAATGCAAACTTCTCTTTTCAAACACGTGGAATTCATCACGTGTGTTTCATTTATATTTACATGGGTTATTGCTCTTCTAGAACTCCAATCGCATCTACGAAGATGCAAAGATGTAAAGCAGTATACCTACCACCTACTCACCTTTTCGAATCAAATCATATTTAAATATCACGAGGAGACATTCTTTTTTTTTTTTTTTTTTTTTTTCCCCCAATTGTGAGTTGAGTTGAGTAGACCGTGATGGATTCGATTTTTTCCAACCCTTACACACATTCTCCTGCATCCCAGATTCCAAGATGGACTCCCGCCATTGTTACGGTTAATGAAGATCTTCGATTCTAGAATCTCAACACCCAAACTCTACACGTCCCTGATCACATCATCTTAGTTAGTCTCTCTCCTATAAAACTTTCCGCATTCCACTTCAAACATACCGTCTTCGAGCACAGACTCCGGCACTCACTTTCTGGACCCCAGACTTAGTATATGTATCATGAATTGTTATGTGAGAAGAAGAAAGTCGGTGGAAATGTCTGTATTACAAATGCTGGATTGGAAGATGAGAAGAGAGTTGGTACGGTATTGATAAGATCAAACTCAAATTCGGTTTTGAGGATTGTATTGAGACTTGGACTATTTATCTACCTACCTATATAGAGGTTTCAATATATATTACTTTTTTCTATCTTGGGATTTTTTCCCGAAAGATTCTCCTTAGAACTGATCTCTAGATTGGATGGGTACATGTCTCTATACTGTACTATATTATACTATCCTACGCCATACTATAAATAAACAATAATAATATCGATACATTAAATCATACAATAACAAGTACTTCAAAATGGATATTGGGCTGTGCCCCGCAGATTACGGCGTAGCATCAGGTCTGACATACCGTCCTTATCAGGATGCTAATGGGGCAATTAGTTACCAAGTAAAGAACACCACATTGTTACTTATATCTCAAGAAGTACAGAAAGATTTCTTGAAGAATCATCTAGAATCAACGCAATCATCCCTCGCCTTGGATCATCCATTATTCCGTCTCTAGACGTATCTTCAATTTTGAGACTCACTCCAGCAAAATACTCAGATGCATGCCGGTTTGACCACCATGATACGTCAATAGTAACTTGTCAACTCGGAACTGGGTGTGATCGGATAGAAGGGGATGGTCGCGCATGCTTACCCGTGGGATATAGAAGGAGTACCTTCTCCAGGGGTCAGAAGGACATCGGCCTTGAACCTTATGCTTACCGTGAACCTCGGGGGAGAACTTGATGTGATCCCCTGCGAACAGCGTGATGAATAACATCCTATTTACAACGCCTTGCAGGAATTTTTATCCATGAATGGGTTCCAAATTCGATCCATTTGGTAGAAATTTTGAGTGTACTCGCGACTTCTTCGATATTGGGAGGCCAAGACCCTGCAATCGACTGTTTATTTGGTGATTCACCAACGAGGGCAAAGGATTTGTTCCTCTCTTCAATAGAATACACGCATCTGCAGCACATTCCATTGATAACGAAGTAGCCGCTTTGAAAAAAAAAAGGTAGAAACGGCATCGTTGGTGAGATGACGTCTTTGTGCTGATTCGGGTGTTGTGAGATTTTTCGAGGTCGAATTTAGCTGGAGGAAGTTGGGGAGTTTTTCCACAAGAGCTCGGGTGCTGCAATGCTATTTACCAGGGGTGAAAGATGAAGCATTGTGACTTTGATATGCCTCGAAAGTTTCATGGCAATGAACCATCGTCTGGCAAACTAGTCGCGGTTATGTTGGTGATCGTTTGAGCGTGTATATTTTATGTTGCTATCAACGTCGCTTGTATATCTTTCCGCGTTGCTTCGACTACAAACTTCAGTCAAAGAGCAGCGACGATGTCAATCATCCATCTCACCCCTCTTCTCCAAAGTCCTCGACTTCAGTTGACTATGGGAATCTTTGGTCTTTCTATCAAGACAGATTCTGAGGCTCACATTTTAATTGGTCTGATACGATCTTCGCAAGCTTCACTACATACCATAATTCCCATGAACAAGATCATAGCCTCCAAGAGGACTTCGAGAAAACGAACTGGAGGTTCCGAAGAGGCTTTGATCGAACAATTGATGGCAATGGATTCTACTAGCGTAGCGGATCTTGAAGCGAAAGCCGAAGATGTGTTGAGTGCTGTTCGAAAATCTCGGTCACGGTTGAGAAAGTTTCATGAAGATAGAGTTAGTGAGGCAGATTGTTAGGGCCATGATACTTGGGGAAGTCGAATGTATAATTTTCTGGATTCGATGTATACTAGAGACGTTTCGTTTTGTATCCGATCCATCACGAGTCTTGCGATGATCATCCGATATGATCAGAACCTACTTTTGGATATCTAGATAGAATCGAAGTGTTTCGTGTTTTATAAAGGTACGTTTTTAGAAGTAAGAGTTACACTTGCTGAGTTACACTTGCTGAGTTCCCATTAAGTACCTGTTTATCTAATGTGGTTTATCATATAGCATACATAGTTTGTGATGTCGTTCTGGGATTGGATTAGTTAAATTGGGCATTGCAATGTGTGGGCGAGGAGAAGTGACAAGAGAGGGACGGATGATGTACAGCTGATTTCGTATGATTTCGTAGCGAAGTCATATTTTTGCATAGTCAGTCGATACTGGCTGGTATGGATGTGGAAATTTGTAATCTGGGAGCCTCTGAGAAGGTGGCTTGGTTTCGATGAATCTTGGTTTGTTGTGTCGTGTGCGTAGAGAGTAGAATCCTTGGAGGGTATTGAGTGATGGGAGGGAGGGGAGGAGGGCAAAAAAGGGTTGCCTTTTTGTTTACATTAGAAGCTTGATTTGCTGGCGTGGTAGAACTTGATGGTACAGGTTTCTCTTCTGCGTTTTTCCTATTCGTTGCTGGAGGAGGGAAAAAAAACCTTGATCGATGTGGAATGTAAATTGAGATTGGAATGGAAGAGAAGGGATGACATGGCATGGGCGTGGATACACATTCCTCTCCATCATTCACGAGACGGTTGAAATTTGATCGAGGAATCTCTCTCCCTTTTATTCTTCCTGATCATTGATCTATATTCACCATCAATCAGTGCTCAGACACACTCATACGAATTTACAAATCCACGAGTAAACCAAAAGCAAAAGCGATTTTATCAAAATACAATCCCCTCAAATCACTCTCGCAGTCATGCATCTCTTCCCTTCAACCATCACAATTATCCTAGCTTTCTCAACTCTAGTTTTCGCAATTGAAGGACCGCTTTCTGTAAGTTTGATATCCCTCGATATTCCCCCTTCTTCTTCCCCCTTTCTCTTCCATTTGATCCCCTCCTTTCCATTACACTCAAACCCTTTTCCCTTCCAACTAAACTCTCACTAATATCTCCTCCTCCCAGCAACGTAAGATATGCATCGCCAAAGGTGGCATCTGTCACAAAACCGGCGAAGCATGCTGTGATGGATTCAAATGTGCGCTTGCGCATGGGGGGAAGGCGGATGTGGGGTATTGTACTGAGAGTGGACTTTTGTTGCAAGATTATTATCAGGCGGGGTTACCTTGAGGAACTGAGGGATTTGTGGAAGGGAGGGGTAAATGGTGATGGGGTTTGTTGGGTGGTTTGGGAGAGGTGCTAGGGGGGCTTGGTGGAGAAGAGGGCTTGTGATGGAGGTGATGATAGGGTGTGTAGGAGTGTTGGTGTTGTGGTTTATAGTTTATGGGTTATGATGTGGTTTGGTTAGATGTTTTGGATTAGGTTAGGTTTGGATTGGATATGGGGGAATCGGGTTCTTTTTTTGTGGACAGTAAGAGGCTAGGGGGGTTAGTTCACATGGCAAATTTCATATCAATCATGTCAAGCAAACAATAGAAAAATCAAAATTGGATGTCAAAAATAAATTATATTAAGGTGTACTTGCATAGAGATTAGTTAAAGCGGCTCATAAATATGGAAAAGGGACATGGAGAGAAGGTGATGTTAGAAGGGGACATATGTAAGAAAAGAAGACGAACTTACAATTGATCCGGGACCCAGTGCTTACCAAGAATCCTTTGAGAAAGGGTTGGTGGCATTGCTCTCTTCTGCATTATTACTCCTCCCTCCTTTACTTTATTTGATCATCTCTCACTCGAGGTCTCCCTTTCCGAGTTTTTTCAACAGATCTTCTAACCGTCTTTCTTCTTCTTCGTCTTGTTGACGTTTCTTCTCTTCTTGCTCGAGTCTTTTCTCCTCTATCTGGAGGTCTGCCTCCTCTTGCCTACGTCGTTCCTCAAGATTTCTCCTGTGCTCTCTCTCTTGTTCCTGCTTGCGGTTCTCGTCCTCAATTTCCTTATTTAGCTTCCGTTCTTCTTCAGCTCGTTCGGCTTTCCCAGCAAAGAGCCTTATACCGTAGTAATAAGCTTGTGCTGGGCGTCCGAGAGCCATGAGGACTTCAACTATCGAGAATTCGTCGACGGTCTTGTGAAAATGTTCTTTGCAGAATTTCCTCAACACTTCTTCATCTACGGTACTTGCAAAATGGACCAGGGATGCGCAAATAGTTATCCAGTGATAGACTTCTTCGTCGTCGAAAGTTGACTTATGCTGTCTGAATTCGATTGTCTTCTTTACCTTTTCTGCGTCCGTTCCGAGGTTACAGATGGAATATGTGAGTCTTTTATATAGGCGATCTTCCTCTAGTTCTGGACTTGATAGCAATTTCACAAGATCATCAACTGTATCTCTTTCCAGAATACTGTCTATGATGAAATCTTCGTCGAATTCCCGCAAACTTTCTTCTGCTCCCGGTCTTTCTATCTTAGCTCGATTATCTCGTGCGACCTGCGCAAGAAAGCTATGTGTTCTTACCGGTTTGGAAAACGCCCTCTGTGTCATGTAATGAGGAGGATGTATAGTTGCGATTTGATTTTCAAAAGTGTAAACGAAAGCCATAAATCTCCTGACTGTGCGAGCATCAAATCCTTTCTGCCCGTTACCGACATGAACATGAATATCTGCGCTCAAATCACAATTAGTCCTATAATTTGAATCAATGCATTGAAGTACATTTCTTACCTTTTGTTTATTTTCTTCATTGTAGATGTATGCTGGACTTTGGATTTCAATTGGCCACCAGAAGTATCCAGGATCAGGATCTAAGCAATGGTTGATAGTAGCATCATTAGAGACTACCCAGTACTTTAAATCTTTGATGCTAGGGTGTTCAGGTTGTTCCTCGTCAAGTTGAGCCACGGCTGGAAGTCCATTCTCAGTAAGAAGTTTTGCCATGTCTGTCTGTAAAGCATCTAACTGTGTGTTAAAGTTGTTAACTGTTTCTCCATGTAGTACCTCGTTTTCCTCAATCACATCGGGAGATCCCAGGTAAGGGAGAAACTGATCTTTGGGGTAGTTCTCCGGCCTTGTGATGCCGTGTACGCGACGAGGATCATCAGGTTCTGGATCGAGAAATTGATCGGGCACCGATTTTACACCGAATTCAAGCTCAAAGCCGAATGTCATCACAATTGGGCTTGTCGGTGGGAGAGTGTGTTCGTCTGCCATTGTTGATTTATGTTAGAATATGGGCCAACAACTGTCTCTCAAAAACTTCTTTTGTGGTCAGTAACGCAATGCCCTTGTTATATAGCAACAATGAGTTCTTTGTACGAATTGGAAGCCCTCCTATGTCTTTGTGTTTCTGCTCTAATTGAATAACGACCAAGTACTGAAAGAAAGTTGACAGGCGTTGTTCAATCTTCGTACCGATGATAGATTTTTCTTTGTGCTCCTGGCTATTCAATGGGCGAGACACAAGGGCTGATCGGGCATTGTTCAGCAGAAGGGAAGCACATTGCAATCGTGATCTCGTAGGAAATTTGATCCATTGATCCTCCATCTGGCATAAGATATTAGGCGCGATTGCGATGATGATGAAAGGGGATAAATTACCAAGACTTCCTGATAGTATTCATCCTATTATCAGCCCGTTCAAGTCGTTCGATCAGATGAGCAGATATATGTCAGTACTCTTCCTAGGCAAATATTTCAACAAGCTTATCATAATACTATGGTTCGCCTAGGTTCGAGGGTGAGGGTTGTTCAGTATTCAATTTGAGCCCAGATGTAGTCCATTGGTTTGAGTTGTCGAGGAGGAATCTCATAATCGGTTCATAGTTTCATCTTAATTCTCAGAGAAAAGTCTGATTAGATTTAGTGATCCATTGCAAATGCGTGATCGCGTAACGTAGAAAGTATATCTCGAGACCTTGCCGCCGCCAAAACAAGGCCATAAAGATCGGAATCGATGGATAAGTTTCCTTGTTCTGCCATTTTCCAAAAAGCTAAGGTATATTTCACGGGTTATGAATTCCCCAGGCGTTTGGTGGTGATGTCTGATTTTGGGGGCTTTCTACATGGAAGAGGTGTCACGAGCTCGAGGTGGTGACACTGGTCTGATCCTACACGTGATCATTAAGTTCTATTCTATCAATAACAGGGGTAGAGCTGGAGTAATACGAAGTGCTATCGTTGCGAGTTTAACACAGCAACATTACAAGAACTAACTTGGGTTGTGATCTCTCCATTCTTATGTTCAATTCATGTAATACGTCTTTTGATGTGCTTAACGTAAGGGGAAGTTTTACGATGCAGTATCCTTACATCTTGTGTTAGTCACACACTCGGCGTCTTATCAGCTTACTGAGGCTGACAATGACTATCTGCCTACCGAGAAGCTTCCCAAGTATCAACAGTGAGAAGGGCAACAGATTTCTCCTCGGACCAGAAAAATGGCACGTCGTCTTCCTGACGATGGTTCTTTATATGAGCGTCTTCGTGGACCTCGTCGTGCAGAAACGTTACCCGTCCGGTTTGATGAGAACCCCACACAAATACCGGAAATTGGTGTTCGCCGGCGCGGTGGGGAACAGCGCCATGCTGCTGAACCAAGTTCCTCACACAACATCATAGATAATGAAAACGATTATCACGATTTCTACAATGATCAGCGGACAATCAGACCACCCAGTCGCTTTGTTTCTCCGAGTCCACCACCACCTGACATTACTGAAAGTCGTCCCAGAAGTCCGTCTACAGCGTCTGTCAATCATCGCAGAGAGCAGGCGACATCTTATTACAGCTCGGCGCCTTCTCCTGCATTATTTCACGAAGGAGCTAGTGACAGACTTTACTTGAAAAGAGTGGCTGCAAGAGAACAAACTTACTCTACCAGGTCTAGGGAAAGAAGTCGCTCCAGATTCAGGTCCTCCACCCGGTATCGATACAGTGGGTCTCAAAGTTCGAGTCATGAAAGAGTGCCCAACTTAAGTAGCTATGATGGAAGATATGGAGTCCCTGAAACTAAGGCTGCCGAGACCTATATCGAGTCATTCGACCACGAGTCTGAAGCATATTCTTTTAGACTTTCCCGCCTTAGTAAACATGCGCTGGAGTCAGAAATGACAGATGACTTAAACTCAGCATCTTCTGAGAGGGGAGTACCATCGCTCTCGCTTCGGAAACACACATCGTTGACAATGCAGCGTCCTAAAATCGATAAGATAATACAGTCCCATTATATTGGCGATGGAATCATGGGAGGAATTCATTCTGTTGATTTTACGATAGCCCTTGGGCAAGCTGGATCTACTGTAAAGTTGCCTGCGCCTCTTTTCAGTTGGGTGTGAGTACCTTGATCCACGTTTGTAGATAATTACTAATGTTTCAAGTCAATTCGAAGATTCAACAATGGATTTTGATAGCTTCCACGTACGTCTCTCGGCAAGTGCAAAGTTAAATCGTTGTATGACTGATAGTTCTCTTAGAGTGGCATATTGAATCTTGATGGACTAAAAGAAGGCGAAAGACTTGGTATTTCTAGGCTACTAGACCTCGTGAAAAGAAGATATCATAAAACATTACAAGTTTCCAGCCGCACTAAAGTAGGGCATATAATTCCAAGGCTTCTACAAGAATCGCTCCGCGATGAAACTCCACCCACGACATTCAAACCAAGGAAACTTACATGGCTTTGCCTACCGTACTTCTCTCTGCAAAAATACACCTCTTCGAATGTAAAGTCTTCATCTCACCCCCCAAGGACACTCTTACAAACACGGCAATCTATGACACCGAAAGAGCGTGACTTGAAACAAGCCGTATGTCATCTACCAGATACACCAGCAGGGTCTTGCTTCCATATCGGCCAGGCTTGGTTTCTCATCCTAGACGACTGTAAATAAAGCCAGTCTAATTCTCTTCGAGTTGTATGAAACTGATTCGACTTCTAGCCTCGATAATATCATGTGCTGGATCATCCACAGCACAAATGACCAAAGACTCCATTTCAATGGCCCCATTCCGAAATGACAACGCCGATTCACCGATGTATACGCTTCTCGTGTCAGACTCGGGCTCTACATTATGGTCATTGCCCATTGGAGAATGTACGACATGGATTGTAAGATTATTCTATTACATTTTGGAACTCACTGGTGTGATAGCTAATGCCATCTTAGGACTTTGTAAAACATTTCTTCGAGATTTGGCCACTTAAATTTGAATTTGCATATGATGGTCACGTAATCACACCAAAGGATTGGCCAAGGATATTCAAACGAGCCAAAAGCTCAAAAGTTTGCCTTCATTTTCGACTAAGGTAAGGTCTTTAATGATGTAACTCATTTGATCATTGTTGACACGCGTCAGCTCAAAGTCAAAAAGGACTCCAGCTGGAGTTCTGATAGTACCGAGTGATTCTATTGGAGGATTTGGGAAAGGAAACCAAAATCCCGAAAAGGATGGTGCCTCTCACCAACCGGACATGGAAACACTACAAGAAAATTTCGACACGAAAGCCTCGGATTCTAAATCTGTCGACGCTTCGAAAGCAGCAGAAATGCCCTATCCGGATGAATTCCACGTTTTCAGTTGGATGAACACACAAATCGACAAATCAATTAGTCCAAATCTCACCAGAAGCTCGGCAGCCCGTAATGTTGCGATTGTCAATGAAACTTTACTACATGATGATCTGCAGGAAATTAATGACTTCCTTTTGCAGAAAACTAATATTAACGAAAGATTTGCATATAAAGCTAGCCCAAGGCATACACGAAAACAGTTTTACGATATTTTGTTTAAAGTTGAAAGCAAAATTCAGACCGACCAATCGCTTCAGGCAACATACGAATTACAGGTCGAACTTGCCAATGCTGCGGAGGTTCTATTTAGGTTCTTTCTATCCCCACAGGATCTCGGACATACCACTGAAGAATTTTGGGGTCCATTATATGAGATAATTGTAGTGAGTTAAGCCACTTGTCAACTGACTCTAATCTAAGCTGATTATCAGGCAATGCTTCCGTATGGTCTGATTCAATCAGACGGGTCTCCAGAGAATGATGATTTAAATTCTGTGCCGCAAAGGTTTTCTGATAGAGCTTGGATCGTAGATACGAGAGATGTCAAACAAATTATTGACTGGATGGCGCTCATTGGAAAGCGCATAGAAGTTTTCAAAGAACTTCTGTCTGAAGTTCCAATTCTTAAGCGCTGCGAAATCGGTATCTCTGAGAAGTTGCCTCGAGCATGGTTACATATACTCATGGCTCTCGCTTTTACAAAGGATATGGCGTCTTCCTGGTATACACACATGAATTTATGTCTAGACCTCATGAATGAAGGTATGAAGGAAACTCTTCAGACACTATCGAAATACCAGCTTTCGGATTATGTTGTTTTTGCACCTTTCGATTTGGCTTCTCTCATAACCTTTCAGCTTTCGCAAGATTTGACGGGCTCTTGTCCAGATATCTGTACGACGTATGTTGACTACATGATATCCCTGGTAAGTGTTCCAAAATAAGCAGTATTTTAACCATCTAACAAGCCACCAGGAATCTGACATCGATGCCGATCCAATCAATAGAGAGCATCAAGGCAGAATTACTGACTTGAAGCAAGAAGTTTCCGTCATTCTAGAAACCCTAGAAACTCAAAGAGAAGTCATACAAAACGCTTTGCATGCTCAATCAAGGTCAAATTTTCAGAATTCTAGATTAAATCGAGTTGTTCCCGAACATAAATATGAGTATAAACTACCAACATTTGTTCAACCTCGTACTACAAATTACCGGAATCACGAGCGATCAGTTTATCATGGCGATAACTACGGAGACTTGGAAATCATGACTACAGGTCCAGCAATTAATCAGTCAGCTGGCGATAACACCCGTGGAGTGCAAGGTCTCCTCTTTCGAGAAAGCCTCGCACTTATTGATGAGCGTATCGAAGTATTTCGAGATATCAACGGTCGCGCTATGTACCTCGAGGATTGGGTAATATTTTCCCTTACATTCACGAGTTCCTGTAATACCAGAGGCAGCTACTAATGCGATGACTTAGAATCTTCGAAGTATTGATACAAATAAAGATAGACAAGAAACTGCCGTCTACGCATTCACAATTGTAACCATTATTTTCCTGCCACTAAGCACTGTCGCTTCCATTCTTGGTATGAACACCAACGATGTGCGCAATATGGAAGTCACACAATGGTTATTCTGGATAATTGCTATTCCTATTACGATAATCATCATAGTTTTGGTGCTAATATGGTCTGACGAGTGGTACAATTTCTGGGCTGGGTTTAAAAATCTATGGGGAAAGAAGACAAAACAGAGGCGCGTACGTTTACCAGATGAATATTCTAGGCCAGAGACGAAATCCGGGTTCGGTTTTGCGCCTACAGCAAGAGTAAGTGGGATTTATCCCGGGCATTATCCTCCACCACCTGGGCCTCTTCTGAGATCAAGAAAGTTGCGTACGATGTTTGATGACGTACCTTTGCCGTATTAACAAGTTGCTATACTTGAGTTTGCCTATCAATTATTTGTTTTGTATATCCTCCTCTTAGACACATCATTTCGCCGTATTCACCACTCTTTATTCTCACCAAGGTGTCCACAATTTCAGACAGCAATTCGACTCGATAGTCTCTAAGTTTCAAAACATTGTAAATCTCTTAAGATCTTTCGAGTATTCTAAGTTGAATCCCCCATTTTTGGATCGCAGTCCGAAACAACAGGAATCCTAGCAGCTATACAAGCCTTTTCACGGTACTTTGATATGCAAGATTGCATGTTGTCTTTCTTCTTCAATTTCTTCATTAAATATGCTAGATTTCAATTCAACGACTTTCAGTGGGCATTCCCAGCTATATAGCTGGTCCTTGCTTCTATGACTATCCTTTCCCATGCGGAGACGCCGTAATATCGTAATATATCCAGATGGACACCATTTTCCCAAAATCCCAATGTTGCTTTTGCAGCGCCGTGCGTGAGCATATTTCCAATTCTAGCCCATCTCGAAACACCATGAACTCCATCCCAAATTGTATCCACAAGAAGCAGAAGAACATCCCAAAACTCCATATCAAACCAGCATTTTCCATCATTACTCTTCCTTTTTTTCTTTTGTCGCTGCCTGTTTATTGACTCCAAACATTTTTCGAATTTCCTCTTCTGCCTCCCTCGCCACGATACCTCCCCAGTGTCCCATTAGTTCCTCACAAACCTCCTCAGTCCAATTGACCAAACTTTCTCCGGACTGACAACCCACCCAGAGAAGTTCCTCCCAAACTGTCTTTTCTAGATCATGTCCTTTGAACGTCTTCATCGTACTTTCCTTATCTCCCCACATTCTACTTCCTTTGTTTTTAGCTATCCAATCGATCATTTCAACCGGTGATAGTTTAATGAGATTATGATGCATAAACACTACTTCGGCATTCTTATCTTTTCTGAAAACTGGATGTTCTTTCTGCTCTGTTTCTTCTCGAAGGTATTCAGAATAATCATCGCTGGGATTATGTTGCATCATACTAGAGCCTCTAAATCCGTCGGCGGTATGATGTCCGATGACCCCATTTCGTTGTCTTACTTGATAGTAGTTTCTTTCGAGGGCAATAGCGGCATATAACCAGGTTTCCTTATCACCCTCGCCGGCATCGCATTGCGTTAATAGTGGGTAATAGAATGAGGGGCCGAAAATATTGTAGTAGAGAACTAAAAGAAGGACATCGCTGTGTGTACGTTTGGACATGATTACTTGACCAGATTCGGTGGTGCCGAGGGAGAGGAGAGAAGGAGTTGGAATTCCAAGGACTTGAAAATAGTGGGGAGATGTGGTCGCCCACCAGAAGTCTGGCCACTGCGCAGTTGTTAGCAAGTGATATTTTTAAAGAACATTTTAGGGAAGGAAGGTTCTCACCAGAACATAGCCATTCTCTTTGAAAACCGGTGCCTCGAACCACTCAACCGGGTCGACAATTGGAAAGTTATCCGCATCCAAAAACAATACGTCCTCAAATGTACTCAAAAGAACCGCAAATATCTTATATTGATATTTGGAAATAGTGAGATCTTCATATCTTGGAATCATAACACAGCGCGCATTAAGTGATGGTAGAACTACTTCACAAGTATGTTCGTTGTAATCCTCTGGATCCGGCATGAAGACTTCCACTGGTAATGTAGAATTTGTCCTGCGAAGCATGCGCAAGGAGACGAGCAATGCGCCGGTGAATCTACCACCTGCTACGGTTACGATTCCTTTGGTACCAGATTTATATGGATTTAGGTGAGTTGAATTTCGTATTATATCCACCGCAGTATCATGTGCGAGTCTTGCGGCTTCAACTTGTTCGTCGGATACTGGTGTGACATCTCGACGCTCTGTACCATTTGTGACTTCTTCGATTCCAAGGGTTCGGCCTACACATGCTGCACTTTCGGTAAGTTTTGGTGGTGCGGCTTCATGCAACCTGCGGACTATATCTGATATTCTTATTACATCTATCGCGGGATCTATTGTGGCATTAGGAATGGCGGAATCCGTGGTAGCGATCGGGACATTTGGATTTGTGAGATCGTTCAGTTTATTATAGGTAGTATGAGTGGTACTGATTGTGAAGCTAGAGAGGGGTTCCTGGAGGAAGACAGGAGTTTCTAAAGACCATAATTGATCTCGAAGAGCAAGATATAAAACGAAGATAACAATGATGATTATGGTAATCCTTTTAGATAGAGAACTGGCCAACATCTTGAAGATTAAACGATGCCGTTGTGAAAGATACGAATGGAAGCCGAGAAGAAAATATTACATTACCAGCAATAAAGTAGGAATGGGGGGTGAGTAGGAATTTTGTACATGTCAACAGTCAATGATAAAATGGAGGAATGTGGATTAAACTAGAGTGAATTTCTAAGCCCTATTGAGGAACATGATTAGTGAAGTAATGAACTTCATTAAATTAAGTTTAGACTTGAAATTCAAGGTCCTCCAAGGCTAGCAAAAGCTTTTGATTATACTTATCGTCCAATATGACTAACTGATACGATGTTGTATCAAAAAAGGAGACATTGGGAATTTCATTGGTGATGTGGGATGAGATAAGACCAATCAATTTCGATGCCACAGTTCGTGATAATTCATAACAGTACAATTACCGGCGCCACTACTTATGACCGTTGAAATAGAGCTTTTCATGATACCGAAGTTCTGGTGAGATAGAGAGCTGGACGCTAGACAGGGGGCAGGATCGTACTAAGAATCAAGAGATGTACGAAACAGGGTAGAGAACGCGGCAAACTAAACCAATTACAGCAAGTTACTTCCATGCCCTACTATTCGAAGCCATTTTACTCCCATGCCCCTAGGATTCCATCTCAAGATGATAGATTTTAGCTATTGTCGATTAGGTTTGAAGTTGTACGAAAATGAAAATGAAAATAATAAATCACATGACCTTACAGCTACTTTAAAATCTACCATTCTACCACGCAATCTATTCATACCATGAAATACATTCTGCTACTATGGAATGCATCATACCATTATAGAGTGGGACGTATATCGACCAGAGCCCAACTCGTTGAATACAAAATACATTGTAGAATCTAGGGGACATTGGAGTAAAATATGTACCAATTTTGGTGCATGAGAGTCATCGGTTGAAAACTTTAGGGATGAGAATGATTTGCCGAGCTATATATATATATATATAGTTTAGCGCCCGATTTAAGCGGTCGATCCTCTAGTGCATCTCTTGGCAGAAGAACTTCGTATTTAACGTTCTTTCTCATCTCATCATTGGATTCTCATAAAAGCCCGACTTCTTTATGTGGGGTTAGAGGAGCTTGAATTGATACGAATGAAGCTATAAAAATCCACCAGAAATGCACCAGTCGTATTTGTTATTGGCACCGTCATAGTCTTAGGGCTTACTCAAGTCAAAATGCTGACGGGCACAGTGATTTTTGGTGGCACGATGATTAGACCATCTGTTAATAATACATGAAGGGCCGGCTCTCGCTTTCCAAATGTAAGGTTATCTGAAAGGGGCTAGATGACACAAATCTTCACACTAGATCATCACATGGATTTACGCGATCTATAAAACGACATCGGAGTTAGACAAAACGACATTATCGAATTGCCATACAGGTCGAAGGGGGGAATTCACAATTCTTACATAATCGAATTGGGACCTCCGGAATTGAATTAATAATGTTCTCTGAAGCTTAGTGAGCAAAGTTTTCAAGGCCAACATCTAGTACATTGACCTTATCGAGTCACTGTTCTTACCAAGTGGATTCAACAATTCAAATTTTACATAGGATCAAGGATTTCTTGCATTAAGGCTCATCTGCCCTTGATACATGATAATTTGACATGAGAGTGTACACATCGTGGGGTGTTTCATGACGAATAAACTTTGAGGTTCATTACGGTTCGTCTGCGCCCCTTCATCTCAAATGTGCTTCATCCATGTCAAAAAAATCAGTCTAAAGTAGAACAATGATCGTGAAAATGATCGTATATTGCGATCTCAGTATTTCTACCTCCCAGATACCGAAAGTTGAAAGCACATATAGGTAGTCATTCCCTTCGGAACGTCTTGATAAGCCTCACGAAGAACCTGATCGGTGAAAACCCGGATATATTACTTAACGATCCGTGCTCTAAAACATACTAAATTGGGGCGAGCATGTACTTTTGGAATATTGAAAGTTTCTGATATGAAAAATCCACAGATAAAGGAGTACCGTGGATTATGTGAACATTTTGATAAGGTGCTCAAGGATGAAGAATGGTTGAAATTATACTACTTTCGCTTGCGAGACTTATTGTACCCACCATGGAAAGATTCTACGATACTAATATTCCCCTCCCCCTTTCCCCTTCCCCTTTCTTACTCTTGAGGGAAGAAATCACGAGTGAATTGAACTCCTTTCCGCCGTCTCCAGTTTCTCAATCTTCAAGAATGAAGGTGGTTGGGACGATGCGCATTTCCCTCAAATTCTAATGGAGAAGGTAAGAAAGTTCAGTCATTATTCCTTCTGACATAATGAAGACTTTGATCACATCTGCATTTTAGTAAACTTTGCAAAGTCATCTTTTCACATAGCTGCTTTTCTCTAATCGTCAATTTTGACTGAGCGTTATTTCTTCCAGTGAACATCAATACACGCATGAAGAATAGTCGCGATGATGTTTTACTTCCTCTTATCCTATGAACTATATGAACAAGTATTGGTGGAGTATTCTGTGAAAAGCTGTTACACCTCTTCTCTTCTCTTCTCTTCTCTTCAAGTAGTTGCTACAGGCATGTTTGCTGGCTACAGAGACAAGACGGACTTCTACCAGATCAATTCCCCTTACACCATCCTATTCAAAACTTGAAACATTAATTCTCTCTGCGATATAAAAGACGTCTCAGGTTGTTGTGAATCTACCCAGTCAAGAGTTGCATTATTTTTATTCGTACACAAGTGTCATTTTAGATTCTCGAAATAAAACACAGTATTTCCAATAGCCCAGCCTGCGGACCATTGTAAGGTTCTAGCTTTGAGATTCTGAGGATATTGTTGTTGATTCCATAGATTCATTATCTTGAAACAATTTGATGATTGAATCTATTGTAGTATACGAAATACTTTTGATATTGAAAAGAAATTGAACATTTTAAAGTTTCTAATCTTTAAACTACAGTCTTGACTATCGGACGCTCTGATCAGACACAGTCAAGAAGCTGGACGTATTGAAGATTCAATCGAAATCATTCCATATTTCAAGGACTTCTCCCTCCTCGCTTCGGTTGTGGGAATACACCTTTCAAGCCGTAAAGTCCTCCTGCAACAGGGGGTGGGATGATGATTCTAAGGGGAGGTTGAGGTTGAACCGGATGCGGCTGGGGAGGCTGCTGTGGTTTGACAGGCTGCTGTTGGATAGGCTGAGGAGCGTTAAGATTAGTCTGAGGCGGTTGGAGAGGACGATCATGTTGAGATGACTGCGGGGACTGTCGACCTTCTGGCGGGGTAGCTTGTCTTCCACTAGTCTTGCGTACAGCAGGTGAAGACACTCCATGCGAAATATGGCCAGCTCGGGCCCCAAATGTTCCTTTACGATAAGGGGGGACTATAGGTGGAGGAACTAAGGGGTGAGCTCTACTAGAATGGCGTGAAGTGTGCTTGCTAGAACCGGACCATCCCTTTCCTCGATTCCCCCAGTAATAAAGGCCCGCGAGACCACAGACGGTACCCACAACCACAACCACAAGAATTGTACCAATTTTCGTAGATGATGGCATTTTCAATGTATGTAAGAACTTTCTATTTGATTGATGGTGGGGACATGATTCACTATAGATATATATATACAGCACATACAGCAAATCATGATAAGTCTGACAATGAACTTCTATCCCCACTTAAACTAAATCATCGTTGGCTTCATGAAGTTTTCATGCGGTAATCGGAGAATTGTGTCTTGTGAAAACAGCTTTTAAGTCTTGTGCTACTTGTTCTCCAGGGTTAGGTAGCACACAAAGATTCACGTTTCGTTGGCCTGTAGACCGCGTTGCCAACAAACACTTAATCATCTTCGTCTGATCAAACTCTCATAGAAAATGGAACATGCCCCGCAGAACGTTTTTCGAGTGTAGCATTCCCATTGTTCGACTTAGATTCTAGGAAAGTTGTCTAGAATATAGACTCAGAGAATCAAGTGGGATATCAGTATAGAAATAACCCATTCATTCTATTAGTTGGTAATTCGGGACTCCATCTCATCAACATATAATCCCTTTAACATTAACATTATTATTATTATATAAGAAAGAGAGAAAGAGGCATATAAATGAAGATATTTACGAGGCAGTAGAATAATTGGTTGATTAATCATAACAACCTGGGGATCTCGATGTTTACACGGCTAAGGTGGTTGATAATTGTAGATCAGAGCAATCATATACATCCATCAAAAGCACTCTAATTATTGTTTATCAAAGTATTTAAGCTTAAATTACTTTGTTTGGTTTTCAACTCAATAGAATCGTCGAAATATCATAAACCAAATCCCGGAACTCTTTCAGTATTACTTATAGTACTTCATGCTAACGGAGCGTTACGAGCCAACCCCACAACCACTGGCCCCTTCATCTAGACTTACCCTTAATCCCCATATTTTCCCCTCTCAATGCGGAGCTTAATCGTAGGACTATTACGATGTAGTTCCTCTCACCTGTTTCCCAATGACATACAACTCCATGATGGATTACATAATGACGGGCGATCTTCACTGGTCAGATCAGTCCTTCTAAGACAACTTTCTGCCCAATGTATCGATGTCTCAAATGCTTTTGCGAAATCGAAAATACGTACTTCCTCTGGAGATTCAAGATCTCGAAGAAAATATGGCAGTTCGAGGGTTGGAAATAGGACTGACACCGGCAGAAGATCATGATACACCAATGCACGACAGACAGCGAAGGTCTTGTTGGCTTGGATTCAGGGCTAGTTTGGCCTGAAAGGTACCATCAAACTTGGAAGATCATCGACTTGAAGTATCGTAATGACCAGCCACCAGTTTTTCTCGTAGTTCGACACTGCAATAGGAAAGGATGTTCAACACTTTGGATAAGAAATTGCCAATATTGAGTGATTAGGGACTGATCAAGGTGGTTTAAACCAGACTATATTTATGGTTGTGAGTATTAATTACATCGACTGATATCAGTAACGTTCTTTGTCAACAATGACTCCAGTAGGTTAAGAACCGGGTCACCAAAAGTATACACGCTTTTCAATATTCGATATCAATTCAAAAAATCATTTTTTAGATACGCAAATTGCCTCAACGTTTCTAGATTCTCATACAATGTGTATTTCGAATCATTCGTATCTCAATTCAAGAATGATGTTATAAAAGTACAATATAAGTGCTCTCAATGCATCAATTCATTCGAGTGATTTGGTGTACCGCTTTTTTCGTCCACAAAGAGTACGAAACGTAGGAGTAGCGGCATGTTGTCAAACTTTATTGATAGATGATTGTCGCGATTCGTCATATCTTAGTTCATAATGCTTTGGCCTATTCTGTTATTGGCTCCATGGTTGCGGGTTCTGTGGGTATGGGGACCGGCAGGTCTTGAAGATCTTAGATAGTCGATCTTAAGTATCATAGCTCATTCCAGTTAAACTTAAAGCCAATGTTTACCAACTTGCCTTTAGCTCTATAGTCTGGATATGCTATTATATAGACTTGAATACATCGCTGTACTGCTGTTTTGTATTCCAATCGACACAATACGCAAAGCTGCTCCATCTTGTGAATAATGGCTTCCAATAACCTGCCCAGGGCCTTTGGAGACGGCGACGATGAGAAGGAGGTCGTGGGTCTTCATGAAAATGCTCCGTCTCCCGATCTACTACCTCCCGATCCAGATGCACATTTGAGCGACGAAGAAAAGGCTGCTATTGTGAGATTATGAGCATCTCCATGGAATTCAAGTGATATACTGATATACTGTGCAGGATCGTAAGCTGGTACGAAAGCTCGATTGGACTTTGATACCATGGGCAAGTGATCTTCAATTCTCCAGCATGTCTGCCGTCTAACTTCGACAGCTCTGTGTTCTCTACCTACTCGCCTTCCTTGACCGTTCAAACATTGGAAACGCAAAGATTGACGGCTTGCAAAAAGACTTGAATAACATGTCGACTGGTGATTACAATGCCGCACTTTCCATATTCTTTATCGCCTATGCATTATTTGAGCCTGTTACGAACGTGATGCTCAAAAGATTTCGCCCATCGATATTTGTACCAATTATTATGTGAGTAGTCTGATGTTGCTCATACTGTGCACCAAAATCCCACAATGACAAAAGTCGGACACTGATATCGTTACAGAATTGCCTGGGGCTTGTGTATGACATTCATGGGATTCGTCACGAACTGGTCCGGGTTGATGGCTGCACGATTTTTTCTTGGGCTCGCCGAGGCAGGTTTATTCCCCGGTATTAGTTACTATCTATCTTGCTGGTACAAAAGATCAGAGTTTGGTGTTCGAATTGCAATTTTCTTTTCCGCAGCTGCTGTATCTGGCAGTTTTGGTGGATTGCTTGCTGCGGCCATCGTTAAGATGGATGGTCTTGGTGGGCTTCACGGATGGGCTTGGATTTTTATCCTGGAAGGAATCGTCACTGTCCTGGCTGGAATCGCTTCATTCTGGTTGGTTTATGATTTCCCGGAGAAAGCGACATTTCTTTGTGAAGCCGATCGAAACAGGGTCATCCGCCGTTTGCAAGCCAACGATCAAGCAGCAGGCCATGAAGATTTCAGCACAAAGATTATCTGGCAAGCATTCAAAGATTACAAGACGTGGCTTGCCATGACACTGTATTCTGCTTGTTCTGTGAGTTTGTACGCTTTCTCACTATTCCTTCCTACAATAATCACTCAGCTTGGCTACACGACAACCAAAGCTCAACTCCTCTCCGTCCCACCTTATGTAGCAGCAGCCATCTTGACCGTCGTAATTGGATTCATCGCCGATCGTACCAGTCAACGAGGTTTGTGTAATATCGTCGTGTCTTCCCTTGCCATCGCTGGTTTCGCTATGCTACTAGGTAGCGAGCAACCAGGCGTCAAATACGCGGGAACTTTCCTCGGCGCTCTCGGAATCTATCCTTGCGTGGCCAACACTATCTCTTGGATTTCCAACAACGTTGAAGGCTCTTACAAGCGAGGCGTTGTTCTAGGAATGATGATTGGATGGGGTAATATTTGTGGCATCATCAGCTCGAACATCTATTTCCAAAAGCCCAGATATATTACCGGCCACTCTGTCGTTATCTCTTTCTTATCAGTGTTCTTGCTAGGAGGAAGTATCTTACTACGTTTCTTATTGAAAAGAGAAAACGGCAAGAGAATTGGGGGCGAAAGAGATGCCTGGATCGAGGGCCTCGATGAAACTGAGAAAAAGGCGTTGGGGGACAAGAGACCAGACTTCCTATACACTTTGTGATTTTATGGTATTGCTGTTTGTATGAATGGAGTTCTGTAGACGATAGGACAGATATAGACTTACAAATAATTGGGGAATGCAAAGTGCATACATTGTTTTAGAACCCGTATACCTAAGGATAGGTATACAGATTAAAAGGAAAAGCGTTTATGCTCCCCCTTCCCCCTCTCTTTCAAGGCCCTATGATTGTTCCAAATGGTCCCACACAATCATCCTTGTACCCTCATGTTATTATATAATTGTACAATTTGGTTTAATGATAGAGAATTTACATTATGGAAAAACTCTTCATCAAAATCCCAACACAGTGATTTTCTCGCAGGCTCTAAAACACCCGCTCTGCTGTCTGGATTCGGATCGAGCAGGCAAGCTGATACAAAGAGTACCGCAAGGTTACTAGACCTAGATTCCTGTCTCTACTTTCACACTTGAATGAAAAACGTTCTTATTATGCCTCTCACACTTGGCTCGAGACAATGTTTAAACAAGCGACCTGGAGCTTTCTATCGATCTGAGTGATATATGACCTACTAGCGTCTTGTGATGCACCATCCCCTTCACGTCCCATTCGTTGATTGAACTTTACGAATGACCCGCAGATGTTGATCAGTTGATTACTCGCCAACCACCAGAACCACCAGAACCACCCTCCGCTACAAATCCAAATACTCCCATTCGGACGTGTACCTAGATTGCAGTGTTACAGCGATTAGAGCCGGCAAACTCAGGTTCTGATGCCGGAGTTTGCTGACGGGGAAATATTGTATGACAACCATTGGTGTATTGACGTAGGAGTTTTTTGAGGTGTTCTATAAAGAAAGTATCAATTTGACAATATATGCTTTTATGCCATTTATGCTCAAACGTGATGATGACTTTTTAGAAGAGGCTTTGGTGGGTGCAAGGCAATAATACTGGATTGATTATGTAATCCACTTTACGCCTGTCGCGTCGTCGCGTCTCCTTCATATCAATTACCACTTCAAATTAATTTCCTCCATTGCAACGAAATCTCTTGGGACCCTGCCATGATGGGCAAACCAAATTCAACTCCAGCTAAGACTCAGAAATCAATATCGAGTTTCTTTACTCCGAAATCTAGTCAAAAACCTCAGGATTCAAGCTCGCCACCTGCTACTAAAGCCCCAGGAAATGTGTATGACGCTGATAGCAACGAGAGAACCGATGAAGCAGCCAAAGCCACCGGAAACCGTTTAAAGAGAGTTCTAGAAGAAGACGAAACTGGTGGAAATACTAGAGCAAAGGAAAGACCATCCAAACGAGCAAAAAGTGTTGAAGTTGAGGAGGGAGATGCCGAAAGTTGTGCTCTGCCAGCCGCCGATTCTCGAAAGACATCCTCTAGCTTAACACGAGGCAAGTCAAAGCCATCACTGCGAACCAATAAATACATGTTCTCAGGGTCAAGTCAAGGAGCTACAGAACCTTCAATCGAGGAGGAACCTGAAGACGAATTAGAGAAAGCGCGGAAAGTCGAGTTGCACAAGAAGTTTGTCAAGAAATTGGGACATCCAGATAGTCTCAGACGCATTATACATGAAGATGATACAGCTTTAGAAGTGGGAGACGAAGAAGGGGAAGATGAAGAGGAAGCGTCTGCGCCTGTGAAAACCAAGAAGAAGGGTGCAAAGACGGGTAAATTGACACCCATGGAGTTACAAGTTATCGACATTAAGCGCAAACATATGGATACGCTGTTGATTGTGGAAGTTGGCTACAAATTTAAGTTCTTCGGCGAAGATGCAAGAACAGCAGCAAAAGTGCTCAGTATTGTGTGCATACCGGGCAAATTCCGATTTGATGAACGTAAGCTTTTCGTTCTTGAATCTACTTGATGATGTTTCTGACGCGAACTAGATCCTTCGGAATCGCATCTTAACTACTTTGCATCTGCAAGCATTCCAGTTCATCGACTCCCGGTTCACGCAAAGAGGCTCGTCGCTGCTGGTCACAAAATTGGTATTGTTCGACAAACGGAGACAGCTGCATTGAAGAAGGCTGGGGATAATCGGAATGCTCCTTTCGTCAGGAAGCTCACGAATGTTTACACTAAAGGCACATACATTGATGATATTGATGGATTAGACTCGACTGATGCACCGTCTGGTGGTGCTACCGCAACAGGTTACCTTCTCTGCATAACGGAGACGAAAGCTAAAGGTTGGGGAACAGACGAAAAGGTCGAAGTTGGTGTATTGGCTGTTCAACCTGCCACTGGAGATGTCATATATGATAACTTTGAGGATGGTTTCATGCGGGGCGAAATTGAGACACGATTATTACATATCGCCCCTTGCGAATTGCTCATAGTTGGGGAACTTACAAAGGCTACCGACAAGCTTGTACAACATCTTTCAGGTAGCAGTACCAATGTCTTTGGTGATAGAATAAGAGTTGAGCGTGTTGGAAAGTCAAAAACTATGGCTGCCGAATCTTATTCTCATGTGGCCCAGTTTTATGCGGACAAATTGAAAGCCCATCAGAGCAGCAACAATGCTCGAGAGCAGGAGCTTTTAGAGAAAGTTTTGAAACTTACTGAGCCGGTTACAATTTGTCTATCTGCTATGATTACTCACATGACCGAATACGGATTGGAACATGTGTTTGATCTCACAAAGTACTTTCAATCATTCAGTGCTCGATCTCATATGTTATTAAATGGAAACACCCTCACAAGTCTCGAGATTTATACCAACCAAACAGACTATACTGAGAAAGGAAGTCTTTTTTGGACTCTGGATAAAACTCAAACAAAATTTGGTCAAAGACTACTTCGAAAATGGGTTGGTCGACCTCTTCTTGATAAGCAGCGCTTGGAAGAGAGAGTCGCTGCAGTGGAAGAACTGAAAGATAACGCAAATACCCCAAAAGTAGACAAAATAAATGCCACCCTTCGGGAAGTTAGATCGGATTTAGAGCGGAGTTTACTTCGCATATACTATGGCAAATGTACACGACCGGAGCTCCTCACAGTTCTGCAGACAATGCAAAGAATTGCTAATGAGTTTGCACATGTCAAAACACCCTCGGATGCAGGCTTCGACTCGAGCATCCTCAATGAAGCGGTTGCATCTCTTCCCGCGATTGGCGAAATAGTAATATCCTTCCTCGACAGGATCAACGCCCAAGCCGCCCGAAATGATGACAAATATGCATTCTTTTTAGAGCATTATGAAACTGAAGCAATTGGTGATCATAAATGCGGCATCGGAGCCGTCGAACAAGATCTTGAGGCGCACCGCATGGTTGCTGCTACCAAACTATCCAAGAAGACACCTGTCATATATGTCACCATCGCTGGTATCGAATACCTCATCGAAGTCCCCAATACCGATCTCAAAAATGTTCCCGCTTCCTGGGCCAAGATCTCAGGCACAAAAAAGATGTCTCGCTTTCACACCCCTGAGGTCATCAAATTCCTTCGTGAACGTGATCAACACAAAGAATATCTCTCCTCCGCTTGTGACGCCGCATTTTCCACTTTCCTCACCGAAATCTCCACCCACTACGCCCTAATCCGCGATACCATCTCTCACCTCGCAACCCTCGACTGTCTTCTATCCCTGGCAAGCGTGGCTTCCCTCCCAGGATACTGCAAACCTACCTTTACATCCTCGACCGAAATCTCCGTCATCGGCGGCCGCCACCCCATGGTCGAACAACTCCTCCCCTCAACCTACATCCCCAACGACACATCTCTCTCCACCTCTCCCAATCATACACGCGCCCTTTTATTAACCGGCCCTAACATGGGTGGGAAATCTTCTTACGTGCGTCAAGTAGCACTAATATCTATCCTCGCGCAAATCGGCTCTTACGTACCTGCTGAATCCGCCAGACTGGGTCTTCTAGATGGTGTCTACACACGAATGGGAGCTTATGACTCATTATTCACTGCACAATCTACATTTATGGTTGAGCTTTCTGAAACAGCATCGATATTGAAATCGGCAGGTCCTAGATCTCTCGTTATCTTAGATGAATTGGGACGAGGAACTAGTACACATGATGGAGTCGCAATCGCAGAAGCAGTTTTAGATTGGGTTGTTAGGGAGACTAACTGTTTGTGCTTATTTATTACGCATTATCAGACTTTAGCAAGTGTTGCAAGAGGATTTGAAAAGGGAAAAGACCTGAGGAATGTGCATATGAAATTCACCGCTGAGAGAAATGGAAGGCGAGTTTCTAATGCTGATGCTGATGCCGATAAGGATAACGATGATGTTGACGAGGAGATTACGTTTTTATACGAGGTCGGTGAAGGGGTTGCACATAGATCCTATGGCTTGAATGTGGCTCGGTTAGCGCGTGTCCCGAAATCTGTACTTGACACTGCCGCATCTAAATCACGAGAGCTGGAGGCACAAGTAAAACAGAAAAAATTATTGGGACTGTCTAATATGATTTCGGAAGTACTAGAGAATGGTACTGATCAGCTAGATCAGCTTATAATCGGTATGGAGCAGTTGTAAAATAAATATATAATACCAAGTCAAAAAGTTAGATAGCAATGCAGAACCAGCATACCCGCGCACCGTTACCAGCTCTTTAACGCCTCATTTCCACTTGAAATAATTGTAGAATATTAAGAAAAAGAACAGAAAGAACGACTTTCGTATATAACATGCCCCCTTTGATAAAAATTCGACCACAACAATGGCCTGCTATAACAAATCTTGTTCGAAAGTCAAAACGCCTTCATGCGGTAATATATAAGATCATGGCGTTTGAAACGTCATAAGAAGTAGAAGATCCCAAGATCACATACCAAAATGTGGCATGTTGACATTTGCACCATTGGTGAGTGGGTCTGAAAGTTGTAGTTGGTTGCTAGGTAAACGTGAACCATGGCTGGCCGAGCTCAAGTTGCCATGAAAACCTTGACCGTAAGCATTCATTGGCTTGTTTTCCTGGCTCATTTGGGAAAAATCCGAGTGATCACCTCCGTATGAGAAAGATCGAGGGTGGTGGTTGTAGAGTGGGTTGTACATTGATGGATTATCAAAGAACATTTGAGCTGGGAAGCCATGGTGGGGAGTCGAAACAGTTCGTCGGACATGGATATCAGATTGAACGTTGTTTTTAGAGAACATACGCATTGCAGTTGGTTTAACCACTGGTGTGGGAGAAATCTGATTACCGATATCTACGTTCGTGAAGCTAGTTGAGGCACCATCCGAAAAGTCGAATCTATGATCTTCCAGTGGGCTTTCTGTACGACCTGGGCTAATCTCAGGGGCATCCTGAAAAACGTTGAAAGAACGCTTCTTGGCCCCCATCTCTTCCATTGTCATTCTAAACTCTTCATCTTCCTCATTGCTTGGAGTAAATCGAGCGCCGAATGCCAATGGATTGAGTGTAGGTGTTGATTGCAAGGCAAGTTGACCAGCAGGCTGACGCGTTCTAGCGGATACTTGTCGCTTCTCAGGACTTCTAGCCGAGTTTCTTGGTGGTCGACCGGCTCTGAGACGGGGGACATTGACGCTGACATCTGCCAAAGCCGCTTTGCGAGTTCTTCGTTTCTTTGGAGTGGGGTCGCGGATCTAAGCGATTTGATGTCAGTGTGTGATATTGCAACATAACCAAATTAGCCATGATTCTGAACAACATACAGGACTGGTCTCAGTCGAAAGGGGACCGAAAATGTGTCTGGAGGTTCGGAATTCTCCATCTGGGTGGTAGGAAACTTCGGTGGGTTGAACCTCCGCAGAAGCAGCCATCATCAACTCGAGAATTGAGCCATCTTTTCTCTGATTTCGCATTCGCTTCATTTCGGCAGTGGCAGAATCGAAGAGATCCATGCCAGGCCAGAATACACCCTTCAACTTTGCACTGTCGGAAAGCTTCTCAGTAATTTCAGCATCTGCCTCCTCCTTTAATGGTGTAGTGAGACTGTACGAACCTGAGTTAGCATGATGATTTTATAAGATAAGACAGATGGCTGGCTTACTTGGTGGTATCCGATACAGTTCCTACTGCCGAGGGTGTTTTTTGAAGTGTATAGCCTGGAATCTGACGTCGAGAGGTTGGTGTTGCATACACAGCACTGTGATCCCACTCACTTCCCATGTCAGAGTTAGAATTGGATGTAGATGTATTATTATTATTGATACTGTTGTTCGTTGCAGTTGGCCAAAGATGCATTCTTGGAACAGGAGCTCGAAACATGGGTGCCAGATTTGCCTCATTATCAAAGAGATTGTCTTTTTCTTTCTTGATTCTCGTTTGCCCAGGCTGTTTTAATTCCTGTTAGTACAATTGAGCAGGTTCCATTCGCAAAAAGAGAATTACCAATGCTTTACTGTTCCTGGTCTTCTTATCCTTAGCAGCTTTCTTCTGATCCTTTGAAGCAAGTCTCTCGGATAGTAATCGTTCGAGATCATAGCTGTCGTACCAATCTTCGAAGTTGTCCAGTTGAATCTTTGCTGTCAATTCCGACGCAGCTCGAATTTTAAGCTTAAAGTAATTGGATAAATGGGCCTTGGAAGATGTATGGGTGAGAAGATGAGACACATCGGAGAATTGAGGATTCTTTGGGCAAATACTGCAGTGCAGCGGTATATTGGTGTGGTTCTTCGACATTTTGGTTGCAGCTATTCATCCAAATTTGTTAGTGATTGTGTGATTTCACAGAATTTGAAGGTACACGGATAATGTCAGGTTTCCAAAAAGAACAGGAGAATCTCTGCAGATGCCCTCCTCCGCGGTTTCAATTGAGGGAACCGCAGAAGTCAGCCCAGTTTTGTACAAGAAGAGCAAATCTCCTTTCATTCCATGCCATTAATAGCATATTTAGACTCCAAGAAGCAATTGATGTAGCTCGAGGATATTGCGTTGTGTAAAAATGTTGAGCGGGATCAAAACTTACAGATTGTTCTTAATAAATGCTCCAGCTCCTAATTGTCGATAGGAATGAGCAAAGGTAGCAAGTCGTCGATTACTTCTCCAACTTTTTGTGAAGAAGATGGTTTCCTCAAAATAGGACAATTGAGAAAGAAAGGACTTGCATACGATGAAGAGTGATGAATGACGGAAGGAAGAAGAGGTGACAACGGTCGAGAATTATAATTTATGAAAAAGAGAAAATACCGAAGGTGCGTTGGTGGTTCAGTGTGGTATTGAAAATTCCGGAAGAGACAATCACGTTCAAAAAGTTCTTGCTATATCGGATCAATGTAAGTTTCGCAATGGAGATGGGAGTGAACTGGGGACAAGAATATCGAGATATATTTATGAGTCTCACCCTTTTGTACTTCATATAATTGATTATGAAAGGAATGAAGGTAATGTAGAGATAAAAGTCAAGGCCGAAAATGTGAATCCGAATTGAGTATATAACAAATAAGGAAGCAATAGCAAATAGAGGACAGTTTATTGGAATTTATACTTATGACGTTGTCATGGAATGGATAGAGTCGTTCTGGTTGAATTCATGATTCAAGTCGAGATGCTGAACAACTTCAGGTAGAGGACAACGACATGTCTCTTTATTGTGTCTTCACCGGTCGAAACTCCCACAACAATGAGGACGATATTTCAAGTATTGTTTGTTGAGCCGCTGATGTTTAGAGACAGAAAGCATAAGTGAACTGCTCATTTTTGGTCAACTGAACTGGAAATATGAATAATAGGGGGAGCCTTTCACCCGTCTCCCTCTGCGGCGAGAATAACCACACATGAGAGCGCATCTTGCATGAATTACAGTGGCACTTCCATGGTTTCTCATGTCATCGACCAATTCTATTCTCTCATCACTTCACTTTACCTTCGATTCTAGCTGAACCACAACTCTACAGACAATGAACCAATGATGAAAAGTATGAAAAGTATGAAAAGTATCAAATTTTTATTGAGGCCCGCACCATATTTCTTCAATATCATGTACCATTGACATTTGAGTGTTTATGCTACGATTAAGCCATACACACCTCATAGTCAATGAATTGCTATTCTCCTGCCTTGTATCCTGGTACCACTTTTTACTCGATATAAGGTTATTAGATGGCAGGAGTTAATGAAGTAAATACTATGCTACAGTGAGAAATCACTAATAAAAATTGTGTTGCTTGACTAACTTCCGTAGTCAGATCGGACGTTGAGTATCGATGAATTTATGTGAAAAGTCGAACCTACGAGAAGCTTTTTTCCACTTACCGAAAACACCCAAAGTTACAAAGGTCCGATGGACAGATCAATGGGAGTACTCTCACCCATTTCATAATTCATAATGTCATTAACGCAGAGATATCTTAGGGTTGCCCTAGCACTCGCTCAGTTATTCTCTTCGGCATACAGCTAAAAGAGGTCAGCCAGTGAAAGTAAAAATGCCAACGATCTGGAAACTCACTACATAGGATCGACCTCTTCGACACCAGGGAACCCTAGAAGAGATAAGCCGGCAACGCCGAAGCAGGTATGGAAGACATCGACCATATCACCTGGTCTATCGGCAAAGCCACCTTCGTCTGTATCCTGACACTTCAAGATGAAGTTGGTAAGTTTCTCTCCATCAATCCAGTGTAGCCTCCCAATCATAGCTAGACTCGTTGCAACCCACCAGCTGTAACAAACATCTTCTTTTTTCTCGGGTCTGCCATTCAGTCCGCCGCACTCTAGTTGCCTCTCACTCAGCCATCTACCCAGCTTATCGATGTTAACCACGTCGAGGCGCTTCGCAATTGATAACGCACCCAAACATGCAAATATTTGTCCCGAATGAGATTCAGCTCCGGGGCTAACCCCATAACCTCCATCAAAATTCGCACACGAAATAATGTAGTCCACTGCCTTGTTGACATCCACCAAATGTAGGGAATTTAGCAGTGAAAGTGCATTGAATGCTGCATAGAGGAATCTAGTGTCTTCCTCGCCCCACTCATCCCCCGCAAAGGTTCCCGTATCCTTATTTTGTAGGTCCGCAAGATCTGCACACCGGAAGCATTAATGGTAGCCCCTCGAATCGCATACATGAAGACACTCACATTTCCCAACTAAATCTTTTCCCTTACCATCCAAGTTCCGCTCGAGATCTTCTGTCGCATCTACCATCACTAATGACTGCACGGCACTAACTGTATATAGTAAATGTGCGTCATGGCCTGGGGCAGCTCCAAAACCACCATTTTTGTGCTGGCAGCTTAAAATGAAATCAATTGTTTCCCGTCTCGGCAGCGCATCAGGTCGACCAAGCAAATGAAGCGCTGTGAGCCCCCAGTAGAGTCCGTTTATTCGCAAATGTTCCGTGTGCCAATATTCGAGCTCATCTTTGCGCTACAAGCAGGAGATGTCAACAAGTGCGGGTGGAGATACGAGGAGGGTGAGTACCTACGGAGTCGAGACTCTGTATATATTTTACGTGGGGCTCGATAGCGAGCTGAAGCTCCTCTGGCAGAGTGGCAGAGCCTGCTCGACCCGGCCCAGATACGAGAGCCATGATTAGAAAAGGTGTATTATTTTGCTGATAGTATAGATTATTGTGACCTCGAGGAACAAGTCTACAAACCTTAAGTGAATGACCCCACCTCGGGAAGATTGCTGACAAATCACCATCGGACTTGGTCTTGATATATTTCGGAATTTTTACAATCACTCGAAGTAATTGAATTTGAATATGTCTGTTTCACGAGCTCGAGGCTCACGTTTAATATACAATGTTGATAATTCATTAGTTTAATGTCTCCAGTGTACAGCAACTCTTTTTTCTGGCTCTTTGACTCTTGCTTATTAATCTGCTTACATGAAATTCTCCCAACTGATAGCCCGTCATCTAACCATCAAATGTACCACAACTTCAAAGCCAAGCAGAGACATTCGCACTACCTTCATTGAATGGGGTTTTCATTTCCTTTGGAAGCTATTCCAAACCTCGAAATGCCCTTCATCGATTTCCAATGAATCTAAAATCTATCCTGATATCTGGTCTACCAGGTCGTCTTTCGAACCAGATTGTGTATAAAATGCTGTTATTACCAGACAAACGATTGCTCTGGCCTTGGGAAAATCTTATCCCTCGAGTGAATTTGGCTCAAGGAAGACTCTCATGACGAGGGTAACTCTAAGTTGTTCTTTTGGCGTCACAGCACTGCTCTGAAAATGAGGGCATCACCATATCCTGCGTTAATAGCCGCAAGTGTCTTCACACTACATGGCAAAATGATCATGTCACTGGCATATAAAGCCACTCGGTATCGAGGTGGCTCGGTTACGAATCGAGTGAACGTGGACGGCAAGTGCTCGAATATTTGTGGGCGTACAATTAGCTTTGCACTCGATAGTGGCTTCAATGCATGAAGTAATGAGAGGACATGTCTTGAAGTTCAGCCGTCTTATCCTCGTGAGGGGTTTATCCTGATATTTTACCTGCTCCTCCCTTGATTTCAATAACCATGCGCTTCTATAGCTGTTCGAGGCTATTTAAAGTCCTACCCGCATGCATTGTCAGATTTTGAAAGGCTGGTTTTGTGTGGACGATTTTGCAAAAGAGTCGTGAAATATTTGTAGTAGACTCGATGTGTGGTATGGGAAAGCTAAGACAAGTTATATCCAAACATATACTGAGATCAAAGATGGTAATCATACGAGCGGATAAGCGTAGCCTGGGCGAGAATGCGTTCGAATATGTGCTCACGATCGAATGCAGTGGCCAAGTTCGAAGCCAACACAGCCCGAAGAAACTATCCGATTGATGCGTGGAGTGTTTCTCCGAATCTATCCGACACATTCACGCATTTCTATCAACCGCAAGTCAAGTATGGGGAATGGGCTGTCATGGTTTTCCTTAACGCATTTAAGTGGATGTATTTGATGAGTTGATAGCTTCTTCGTCGATATATCTCCAACTCTGGTTTGGTTCCTCAAAGAAAAGCCAAGCTGATCCATTGCATACACATCCAAGTTTGTGAAGCAATTCTACTTCGGAGTGGTTCTGAGGGATTGGGAAAGGACTGAGATGAATATCATTTCTGTAAAGTTTGCAGGATCCTGACCATCAAGCACCCTGCCATAACCGTTCCGGATAGCATTATCAACAGTCATTGAGTGAATCTTCTTTGTGTGATGATAGACGATCGTCCGAGTTTTGCCGGCGCATACCTCTTTACAGTTGATGAAGTACTTTTGACTTGGACTCTGGAAATCAACTATTGGTAAGACTTGTATTATGTACGAAAGATGGCTATGTACGTTCTTGAAAATCCCACTACGTTCTATCTTCTTAACGACTACATATTAATTCTGTTGAAAGGCTGTAACGCGCGTTTGACGAGAGTACGGAACCCAGTCAAATCTTTAGGGCTCGTAACTTAACCAATCTCATTGGAGTGTTGTTGATAACCGTCCTTCCAGGTATATAGCCAACGGCCAAGACATAATAGCGACAGTATTGTCAGCAAGGAGGCCGCTGACAGTGGGTCTGATGTACGTAAAATTCGCTGCATGCTATCAGGTCTAAGCGGAGACGGAAATTTGAGATCTTACTTGTTCATGGAGTAGTAAAACGTACCGTATTGCTGGGAATGGATCAAACCTCACCTCAATTTTTACAGACTTGAAAGAGTGTTAGGGTGATTAACTCTTACATCATGCTATGCCATATCTTGACCTGTCTCAACTCCCCCTAAAAGATGCTTTGTGTAAGCTGACTGTGGGTTTTCTATTGGTTTTCATATTCATCCCGCCAATAAGCCCGGAACATAGAATTCATAATTCATCCTACCATATTAAATTAAGTAAAGAAGATTCCTAATCCATGCAGCTGGCCTATTGAGCTCTTGCATAAGTAGAGGGCAAAAGACTTAGTATCTCGAATTTGCAGTCAAACTTAGGTTTTCAATCATTCTATTTCAAATATTTGCAATCATGGTCAATTCTAAACCTACAGTAGTTTTCATCCCAGGCTTCTGGCATACCCCAGAAGGGTTTACACCTCTCTCCAAAGTTCTGGAAAAAGAAGGCTATCCCTCTGTTCTGGTCAACTTACCCAGTGCAGGCGCTCACCCTGGGCACCCTGACTTCTCACAAGATGTGGCCGCAATTCGCAAGATCGTTACCGAATTAGCCGATGAGGGTAAGGAAGTCATAGTGGTGATGCACTCCGGTGGAAGTGTTAGTGGCAGCGAGGCTTCCCGTGACTTGGGTAAAAAGGAACGCCAAGCTGAAGGAGAGAATGGTGGGATAGTGAGAGTCATTTATATTGGCATTCTATTACCCAAGGCAGGGAAGACTATGTTTGAGACATTTCAAGGCGTGCTTTCGAGTCCGGATTTGGATTCGGATTTTGTGATTGATCAGGATCAGAGCTTTCATGTCTTTGCTGAGGTATATTTTGATATGTCTTCAAAGATAATGCTAACGTCCCGGCTAGGACGGCACTTCAACTATCACTGACGGCGATACGAGATTTTATAATGATCTCTCTGCAGAAGATGCAAGATATTGGAGCAGCAAGTTGACTTCGCTTTCGCTAGGGTGAGTAAAATGGCTAGATGTGAGGGGTACTCTCACTGACGTACTATTTAGAGTTGGGATGTCTCCATTGACCTACGAAGCTTGGAAATACGTACCTTCAGCGTATATCATGCCACTGCAAGACAAAAGCATTCCGTTGAAGCAAGTTCGGCAGATTGTAAAGGAAGCAAAGATTGAGATGGTGTTTGAAATAGAGACAGGGCATTGTCCATATCTTGTACAGCCAGAGACAGTAGCCGGTTTCATTCGAAAGGCAGGAGGAGAGACAATTTGATTATTATTAGAAGACGTGGAACAATTGCCTCTATCGACCGAGGGCAATTCGCCCTTCTTTCATGATGTAAATTTCATAATCTTCAGAGCTAGCCCACGCTCCTGTCCCTGTGTCTATTGCCAAATCACTTTCTGAGACAATTCCCACAGTGTGGATTCTGCCTTTTGCCATAACCCCCCAAAAAGCCTATCCAGAAAACTATGCGTTATTCAAAAAGTCATCACTTCCAGAGCTTACACTAACACGGTGCACATATCCCAGGCTGCTAAGCATTGCGTGGCTGACTACCGACGGTGAATAGCAAGAACAGCTTATGGTGCACAACCTCTATCCAGACCAGTACAGGGTGTCGGAGCATCATTGGATGCAAAACGCTTTCCAAGTTCAATTCTCAGGGATATCTTGCAAGGAATCGTAGGTCTAGGTTCGAGAGGTTGGTTGACGCCGCTTTAAAGACATTTTTGGCACAATTAAAGCGCCTCTAGAATACGGGAATCGGGCACTTTCGAAGTCCGAGCAGGTCAACTAACGGCGGAAGAGCGGTCGTAGAAACATCAACAATTTAATCTATACTGAAGAAGCTTGATAAGCATAGAGGTAGGATTCAGTAGGTACTATTTCTTCAAGTCTATAAATTCGTCATTTCATGCTTCAATTGCGTTCATTACTAGCGGACCAATCTCTTATCCTGAACTTGATACATCTTTACTCATCATGCAGCCCGATGAGAAACCATACCCGGCACCGCAAAGATTCTGGGACCCATACACTCCCAAACCACCAGTAATCGTTTCCGAACCAGTTAAAGTGCCCGAAACGTCGACTTCGCGATTGGAATCGAGTGCTGTGCCGCTGCTTTCACCAGCATTAGACGACCGAGAAGAAGCAAAGACCGTCCTCTATCTAGCCTATGGCTCCAACCTCTCTGCCGAGACCTTCAAGGGGAAACGCGGCATTAAACCCTTGAGCGCGGTCAATGTTCATGTTCCTGCAATCGATCTCACATTCGATTTATGCGGGATACCTTACACGGAACCCTGTTTCGCAAATTGTCAATACAAGAAAGACCAATCAAATTCTCCTCGGACAAGAGATTACCACAAGACAAGATGGCATAAGGGATTGGTTGGTGTAGTCTACGAAGTGACTCGTGAGGACTATAGGACTATAATAGCTACCGAAGGAGGTGGCTCATCATATAAAGAAGAAATCGTGGAATGTTTTGTTCTTCCGAAAGGTAGCAAGACTGTGAACCCAAATCCCAGTAGCATACCATTTCAGGCATACACTTTACTCTGTCCGTTCAACAGCAAAGATGCGAACCGCATTGTTCGCCCAGATCCAAACTATGCGCAACCATCTGCACGATACCTGAAGTTGATAACCGATGGAGCTGAGGAGCATAACTTACCGGAGGAGTATGTCAATTACCTGCACGGCATTAGATCATATACAGTCACGACAATTAGACAGAAAACAGCGCAGATCATTATCATGACCTTTATAGTGCCTATCATTCTGGCGCTGTTTGGACTGGGGAAGATTTTTGCAGACAAGAATGGCAAGCTCCCGGATTGGCTAGCTAACGCAATGCGCACGCTATTTAGATTCGTTTGGGTGGCTTATGATAGAATTCTGAAGGATAAATTTGGCGATGGAGAGAGGACAATAGAGAGGAAAGGGATTGATATTGAAGAGGTGGATTTAGATAAGAGGTGGGACGAGAAAAAAGTGTCTCTTCTGTGAGTTCTACAGTGGGTGACATTGGGCGTCAATTTTGAGCAGTGCACATTTGTCAGGTGTTTGTATATATTGGGTGCAGCATATAAATCGTATTATGGAGGAAATAGCTAATGTATTTTTGGTATACTTGACCGCTCAAAATTCCGCATCGGCTGCTTTCGTTTAAGTATGATAGCATCATCCAAGCATGCACGCAGTTTTCAATCGTTATAGTGTACTATTCGTCCGGCGTTTTGTGATGATATGCTGTTTATATCTCGGCACAGAGTGGGATAGGAGGCAAGTAGTCAAACGCTGCCAAGTCAAATTGTCAGGTGTGTGTCCCCTCAAAACATTCGGAGATTTCTGGCAAAAATGAACAGAAAGGCAACGGCAATCGGCAAGCTCTATTTCTAACCCAGTATCGAAAACTCTTACTTATATAAACCTCTGTGTTAACATCGGACGATACAAATGCCTCTCCAAACGAAACATCTCAATCGTCCCCAGCCTTTCTACCAACAACATTGACCAACATCATACTTATATAAGCACCCTCCTGTACCTCCTGAGCCGCCTGTCCATACAATTCCAATACATCTCTCGACCCCTCTCCTGCAACATTGACCAATTCTTTTATGCCATTCATATGCATTGAAGTCCATACACAGGCAATATAGGCCTCGGGTTCGAGAAGTTGGCCATCCAGAACTGTTATTCCTCGTTCTTGGAAGATGGAGCTGAGTTGGCGTATCCACCTATGAAATGTTAGGATACATTCCAGTAGCATACTGCTCAAAAGAGAGAAAGATGATGGAAATGGTACTCAAAACTGGTGAATTTCTTCAAAGGAACTTCGTACATCCATCTCATCAACTCTTCAAGGTGGCTGGTTGATAAATCTGGAGTAGCAGCTTTGCATGCCATCATGCTGAAATCCACTTCTTTCCACTGGATGTATCCACCTGGTTCTAAATACGACAATGTCAGTTCACTTTTCACATTATGTCTCTCTTCAGGAAATAACGAACTTAGCAATGTCAACACATTGTCTAAAACATATCTTGGATCTCCTCCAGGGATCACGACACATAGAAGACTTATGTGAACCACATCGTATTGACCCCTCAATCTCTCTGGAACAGGTTTAAAAATATCCATAATATCTAGTTTGACATTTGGGGGGAGTAGTGCCGAATGAGGGTATTGATTAGTTGAGATATCGAAACCGACTAATTGTGCGTTCGTCTCGGATTTTGCAAGCTCTTTTGCTAAATCTATGAGCCAGATTCTTCAACAACATTAATTTCATACATACAGAATCTTCGACACACAAGAGCGCTTACCCTGTTCCACATGCTATATCAGCAATCTTGATGTCTTGCTTGATTGGAATGCTGGGATGTAGAAGATGTCCGACTAGTCTTTGCCAGAGCCAATGTTGGACGTAGAGACTTGATCAGTCAGTGTGTGAGAGCAAAGTTGAAGTTTCAAGATTCAGACTAACCGGGAAGAACCCAGCGGACTTCTCTCAAGGACATACTCTTTTTCAGCGGCGGAAGTCATCCTATCGTTCGTTGTTTTGGTACCAAGAGATTTCTAGCAAGTGAGAATTAACAGGCGAAGAAATATAAGCAATCCAGTACCAGATTTACTACCACAATGGACTGTTGGTAGATGGATATTGATGTTGATGATTGACTGTACTCATGTAACACCCGAGATATGCAAGTGCGTTTCCTTGCTTCCACACTGTAAGTCTCGAACACAATACTACTTATTAATTATGTGATACATTTCAATATGTAGCAAGCAGTCTACGATAAAAGATGAGGTCTTTTCCTTTCAGATGTAACAGTCTGATTTTCATATCTCACCCTTTCTTCTGAGAGCTTTGAATGAGCATTGAAATCGACCACAGGGGTTATTGCAAAAGGAAAATAGGGGATGGAAAGTCCTCGCCACGCTTTCCTACTCCACCACCAGCCACAGCTCAATAACATTTTATCCCAAGCGCAACTCGTCGACGATCGAATTCAGTTCTTATCGTTTCGTGTCCGGATCCTATATCTTCCCTCTCTAGATGGCATAGCTAGGGTGTCGCGAATCAGTGACGGTTCTGGCGCATCCAGAATATATTTTTCTTCTTATCAAATACCGAGCTAAAATATCAATCGATTTCTCACACTGCATGTCGTTCTACTCAGAGTACTGGCCATACTTCGGATTCAGAGTTGCACTTGAAACAATGTCATCGTTTGCATTTTTCCATTGGGATGGCACCTGCTGTCCCTAGCTACACACCGTAAAAGCCAGATTCGCCAAAATCGCCAAATAAAGGGTTTGAAGGGAACGTTTGCAATTTTGTACCAGTTTTCTCAGCTACCAATAAGTAGAAATGTCTCCTTGAGAGCAGATGAATCTGATAGAGTTTTATCACAGATAACAGCTTAGCTTTGAAGGCATCTGAAAGATTCAAGAGATTATGGTGCCTTTTGTGAGTGCAGCACGCCTTTATTTTAGTGGGTAGATTTCAACGGTTGATGGAGAGTTGAAGGATGGTTTGACTGGTTTTGGCTGTGACTTTGGTCATATATTTCTGTTCAAACATGGATTTCTTACTCATCTCGTATATCCGTATGTTCTCATTTCCTCATTTATATACTCCAACTGAACATTCTTCACTACTACCACGTGACTACTGCTGCCTGCCAACAGTCAATTGGTACTTGAATATTCTATCTGGAGGCCCTGGATATTTCTTTCACTCCTACTTCTATCACCTCGTTCTGCATCATCTACCTCTTGTTCTTCCGATCAGACTCCGACTGGCGCAACCATGATTGGGAAATTGAGCATTTGGCCCGTAATATGGCAAATTACCAAACGTTGCTATGTTGGTCATTTATTGCTTTATTTCGGGCCGCGTGTCGTGCATATCTGAAAGTATCTTCCTTGTATAGGTACATCGATCGTCTGGTACCTAGGAACGACACAGGATGAGTTTTCTATCGGTGTCAATGACATGTGACCGTGAAAGGTGGTATAGACACTCCTTACAGTGTTTTCCAAATGCAGGAATCTGGAATCGAATAACGTATCCATCAGATTCATACATCGTATGTTGATTGAGTGAGGTAAAAGGGACGGATAGAACTTTTCACTCGAGACAGTTCTTCCAATCTTTTCTGGGCCAAGATGACATCACGAAGAGGGCGGATAGCTCATACTCGCACGATGCACTTATCAATATTTTGACCCCTGTTTGCATTAGAACCAAGGCACCTTCCAAACATACAATTCGATACGATACCTGGAACCTCAAAGCTCTCTCTCTACATGCTTTTATGTGCATAACGCTCACATGATCTGACATCGCCAAATCTAGAATATTCCCCAGCCAATTCCGCTCTGCAGTGGATTTCCCCATCCTTGCTCCGACTTTTCATTCGACTGCCGCATCATCAAACTCTAAATCGACACTTAGCGTGGGGGTCAGCAGATCTATTGTGGGGGTAGTGTGAGGATCCCTGAGACCGAGGTTTGTTCCATCTCTCTCAACCAAAGTCATAATCATTACCTTCCTCCAAACAGTGACTGTGATATCCATCCACTCTTATGAATAGTCCGCGTGCTCAACGGACGTGGGGTATCATGGTTGTATAGGGAAAGTGGCCCCCGAGGCATCCATCCATATTTGAGCTATAAATACTGGGAATTTGTTGGAGTAGTGCTGAATTATAATTTGTTGAGATGCTTTCTGATCAGACCTTTCACTGTGGTATATTTGTACGTAAGTGATGAATAAGATCTGGGATATGGATAGTTCCAATTTCAGTCTATCGAAGCTAATCAAGATTCACACTTACTCCTTTTTATATTTAAGAGTTTTTCCTTCAATTTATTTCATTCCCATCCTCATACTCTCTAGTCGACCATTAATCTAGAACTGTCATTTCTCGCCACTGTGCAATATCTCGATCTCTGGACATTATCGAAAGATGACTGCCTCACATTCCTACACAAACGGCAATGGCTTTGCAAGTGGGCATCGTACATTGGTACCAGGAATCTATGTTCCTACTGTTGCATTCTTCCATCCAGAATCTGAAGAAGTCGACATCTCAACAGTCGCCAAACACGCTTCCAGACTTGCCACTTCTGGAATTGCAGGCCTTGTTGTTCATGGCTCAAATGGAGAAGCAGTTCATCTCACACATTCAGAACGCTCGCTCATCACCTCCACTACACGCAAAGCTCTCGATAAAGCAGGTGCATCATCCATGCCCGTTATCGTAGGCTGTGGTACCCAATCAGTTAAGGAAACACTCGAACTGTGTAGAGAAGCTAAAGAGTCAGGTGGAGACTATGCAATTGTTCTTCCACCCAGTTATTACGCATCACTCTTGAACCCACAACTGATATTGGATTTCTTCACACAAGTCGCGGATGCAAGTCCAATCCCCATTATCATATACAATTATCCTGCTGCACAGGGAGGGCTTGATCTTAGTTCCGATGTCATACTTACACTTTCTGCTCATTCAAATATTGTGGGGGTAAAACTCACATGTGGAAATACCGGAAAGCTGGCACGAATCGCCGCATCTGCCAAACCATCCTTCCTCACCACCGGCGGTTCTGCAGATTTCATTTTGCAAACCATGGTAGTCGGAGGTGATGGAGTCATAGCTGGATTGGCAAATTTAGCACCAAAAGCTTGTGTAAAAGTCATGAGATTATTCAAAGAAGGAAAGCTAGAAGAGGCGAGAGAGCTGCAAGCAATTGTTGCAAGAGGAGATTGGGTGGCTATCAAGGGGGGTTTTGTTAGTGTGAAAGTTGCATTGGAGAAGTATTACGGATACGGTGGATTACCCAGGAAGCCATGTGCACTGCCTGAGAAGAAAGCATTGGTAGCAATGAATGAAGAGTTTTCAGAATTGCTTGAGTTGGAGAAAACTTTCTAGTCCGGTTGAGTTGAAGGAATGGAATATAAAAACGCTTTCGAAGCATTTTCATTTTAAATAGCTTGACATGTGAAAGAACAACATCTTGACTTGTCCAGCGATTTGGAAAGAAAACCGAACATTAAAATGCAAAGCATAAAATGTCCACGTTAAATTATTTGAAATTTTGTTACAGCATGTATCCTTATGCCCAGCTTCCTTCTTACTTGCGAGCCTGTCGTCTTGAGATGATCATGAGCAAAATTCAAGTCATATACTCCCTGGAGGTTGGCATCCAAGTTACTTCCTGGCAATAACATTGTCATTAACTCAAATCGATAGCGCCACATTAATTCAAAGCTCTATAAGATATTTCCATCTTACGCCACTTTTGTCTCTGTATATCTAGAATGTGGTAGTGTGGGGGTGCAAAGCCAGTCTTACGATTACATGACTACTTAGTTCGGACTATGGCGAGAATATACAACTGAAGAACTGCTTGGAACCGAGTGGCAACTAGGTACGTAGTCGAATCTTGAGAAGACCATCGAGCGTTGTGAGTGTATTCGTTTACAGCGGATGAAAGAGCTAGAGATGTGGCAAAATGGTGAGAGGTGACCTGCCTGACCACCAAAGTTTAATCTTTTTTCTTCTGCTGTCGTCAAAAAGAGTGATTGTCATGACTCGCACATTATCTACAGGCTCGATGATTCGAGCTGTTAAGAATACAGTCAGAAAAGTTTTGATAGTCTAGAAGAAAAAAGTGAGAAGATGGTGTGGTGGTATCGCAGATGTGGGGTGCGGGGTATGTCACTATATGTAATCTGGTAATGTGCCGGGATCCGCGATTAACAGCTAAAAAAAATACTGTTGCATCTGGAAAGAATAAGCCTATACTCTTCTAAGTCTAGTCATGTTCGCCAACGCGGCAGTGTCGGGAATGCGAATGATCCACTCTGTTGATTTTACCGATTGTTACTTCCGAGGTTGCCCTCGGTTAGGCGAGTTTGTAGCTATCGGGAAGGAGAGGAATATGGTTCGTATCTCGGTTACTTTTGTTGAATACAGAAGGTTCCAGGATACCCGCCTGTTGGAATTTATGATGGGGTTGACAATACGTGCTAAGCTACGTTGATTCTAAAGATCCACTTCATCTCTTCTCCACCCCCACGCCCGTTTCGTTGACTTAGAGTGGGGGAGGTCATTGAGTTATTTATCTTTGCTGGTTTATGTTACTGCATGTACTCCCGAGGTCTCAAAAGCAGGCGATGCTTACCTAGGCACGTAAGGACCTTAAGATATTCACCCGATGTTGATAATAGCGTAGTGTTAGAATGTATGTATTTTTTTGATACTCGTAAGCTTACTATGAGTGCAGGTGGATTTAGTAATGATATCGAGACGGGATTCAGGTAAGAGGGTAGAGTCAGGGTTTTTTCATGGACCTAGAAGTCATCTGATCAGAGTACCTAGTTGTAGTTCATCCCTTCTTCCAGAATTTTCACTCAGCAAAAACTCATGATTTCGGATTGGGCGGTTCCTTAGTCTAGAAGTTCCTACTGGAGAACTAGCAGAGAGGGAGGTCCGGAGAGCACTAGGCAGAAACTATTGTTTTTCTCTCATTCTTTACTTCATGTTTGAGCAAGATTCTTTCCTAAAGCTAGTCAAGCACTAGTTATATCTCATCTCTGTATGCAGAAGATTTATCAAAGCATACTTCTCTTAGAGAATTTTCGGGACGCCCCTCGTAAGTGGAGAGTTATAGATATACAATAACACAACCTCGTGGCTTGTGATTGGAAAATCCCAATTCATGATTTTCCAGATACTTATCTCAGAGCACTCATCAATTGTCCTCAATATACTGTGATCTGATCTACTTATTTTTCACTCATCAAGAGAACGATCGTCTTTATTCGCCTTTTGTTGTTGCGTGGTTATTGTAGTAGATGTTCCTATCTTACCAGGTAATATTCCAGCAAATTGCTCTCATAGTTAGGGAACTTAGACGACGATTTTACTTCTTTGGGTGAGTAATGAGGCGTCCATACTTTCAAGGTCTGCAATCATTCGTAAAGCTTTTTACTAGATACGCCCATTGCCTGATACGTAAATATCATTGAATTTAGAGTATATAAGTTTATGCTTGATAATCTATGCCAGGCAGAATGAAAAGACTAGTAGCATGCAACACAACTTGTTAGGAGACCCCAGTTGATGTCTTCACCGGAAGCTAGTTCAGCAGCACGTAGCGGACGAAACATAGCGCTCTTAGATAGAATTCTAATAGTTATACATAGTGTTTGAGTATCGAGATTGGCATAGAGAGTCCTAGAGATAGTGTCAAATGTTTTGAATCTGAATGACAAACGAAAAATCTCACATGGCTTAGGTGTATTCAATTTAGTGTGCGTTTCATCTTGTGGTTTAAGGTTGCCCCTTGTTTCAAGGAGTCTAGCTGAGATCTACGATGGAATTCGTATGGTCATGACGCACGAATTCCTGATGTTTCTCTCGAATGAGGTTATACGGAAGTGTAGAATTTATATCTGTAGATAATTGTTCGGTGGGAGGTTTCGATGAATCTTGCTACGGGATGATTGATTCAAAATTGAAGGATAGAATAGAATGGAATGAGATGGCTAGGTGACTTGAGAGTACGGGATAGAATAGGATGTTATTAGGTAGAATTAGATGGAAAGAAAAAATTCCCGATACCTCGCGAACCAATCTCAAATAAGCATTCTTGAGACAATCAAATTCTTGTGTATCTATCTATTCCATTCTCACATCTTGCAACATGAGATCAAATCATTTGGAAAATAGAAAACGAGAGGAGGTAGAACGGTCAATATTTTTAGCCCGTGGCATTCTGTATCATGTAATAACAAACTATCTCGATTATTTGCGAGAGGAAATGAAAAAGGGGCGAGATAAGATTATTTTCTTTTGCTCTACCTTTATCTCTTCATGTTCATTTCTCCTCTTCACCTTCGATCCTTTGGACTTGTGGTCTTTTTGACCCTAAAGGGAGGTAGGTATTGGTCAAGGAGGTACTGAGTTCAGATTCGGACTCTCAAATAATGAGTCCCATGACGCAAAGGAAAGATCCAAGTCATACTTGAAATTAGATTACATTAATTTTCTTCTCACACTTAGCTATCCCTCTATCTATTTGAGATGAAATCACACAAGTGGCCATTGCTCAAATCGATGAAATGAAGATATATCTGATGACCAAAAAAATCCATCTCCTTCCCTTCCTCTATTATTCTACATCTTCCCTAAGCAGTTGAAGGTAGTGAAAACCAAGGACCATACGCTTTCAAAGCGGAATGTTGAGAAGAGCAGAAAGCAGAGTATGTTCCGCCAAATTATTCTCAGTCCTACCACTACCATCCTCGTGATCATCATATCCAGATATCTACAAATCATCTTCAGCAGTCGAATTATAACCCTCCCAGTCAGAAGATCCGAGCAGCTCAAAATCATCATCAGATTCGCAGGCACAAACGAATTCCTCCTCCGGATAGAAACAATGCTTATTATAATCCGATATCGGGCAGCCCATTTCCTCGAAACTTACGAGCTGCACACGTGGAACCGTCCAGTCAGGATTATCTAGAAGCTCTTCTTCTGGAAAAGTAACATCGTCAAAAGTTGGATGTTCATCTCTTTCATCGAAGAATTCTTCCCATACAGGCTCCCACCATTCCCACCTTGCCAATTTCCAATCTCTCTGTAGTTGCTCCGACGTCTCCTCTAAACCATCATAGTTACGATGTAACGCAGCAGTATGAAGACAGAAATTTTCAAAGTCATTCTCGCTGTCATAGCTCGGAATTTCGTCGTCACTATCATTGCCATCATCTGCAACCGTGATGTCATCATCAACATGTCCGCCTAAACTATCAAAGTAGCCTGATCCTTTAGTATCATCATCAATATCGCTAAAAGCGTCAAAGACTTTCTCCTCCTCCTCCTCCTCCTCCTCCTCCTCCTCATTCTTCTTCACCTCCTCCTCCTTCTCCGCCTCCTCATCCGTATCGAAATTTCTATAAATTTCAGTTCCATCATTGCTGCCTCTATCCCAAAGTTTTCTGTCCAAAATGAATGTGCCATCCTTGTGAGCCTTGTTGTCTTGCAAATTCTTGATAGCCAATTTACGCAGGAGAAAAGTTATTACGTGAACATTTCCCAAATGCTGGACCAAATATCGGGTGAAAGATTCAAGCCAGGGGTTTGAATCCATGTGCAGGTTATCATAATTGAACGCCAAGCGGGTAATCCGCCTTTTATCCTCTTCCGATGCCCTTTCAAAAGGATTCTTCCTGTAAGTGATATCCCTTTTCGCATTGTTCAATCGATCGATATAAACAAGATCTTTCTCATAATTGTAGTAAATTGGCCGTTCTAGGAAAGAGGAGAAGCAAGATTGATAGGATTTGAGTGCTATCTCTCGAGATGAACGGGTGGTGTGTAAGAGAGCAGGAGGGCTTCCATTAGCATGTTGAAATTCGGTCGAAAAGGCACATCGAAAAGTAAGACGGCCGTGGTAGTCTATGATTGGAAACTCATCATCGCCATATCGGTAAATCTTCGTTGCACGACCGGTTCTTATTTGGGTCCCGATGTGTCTCCCATCGGATTTCGGAAGATTTGCTTCAAACTCGATGACTCGGGGTGGAATGGCATTTACGGCGAATTTCCAGATCAGAAGCTTAACTTCGTCAGAGAGTGATGCGAATCTGGTGAATTTTTTCTCTTCTTCTATTAATCGAACGGTATCCATCGAGCGCGTCGTAATCTCTTGGTTTGACTTATCCATTGAGATTGGGAAATGTGTTCAATAGTTCTGCGCATAAATTACCAGAAGAGTTCTCCCATGAAAGATCATAAACAAGTATCACAATATCTTTGAAATATGTTCAGATAGAAAACGAATAGGATACAAATGGAAAATGTATCAAGTGCGAAAATGTCTCTCAAGATACAATGGAGGAAAAAGTCTTATGGGGGAAGATCTCGTTCGTCATGGATGAGAGCTTGGCGGGCTAGAGCAAAGATCGACCACTACTTTAATGAGATATTACCTTAAAACTTTTCCCTCGACTCCTGCTTGTCATCCAAACTGACGTGAAATAATAAAAGTAGGTCCATTTATCAAGAGGAGAAGAACAGAACAATTGAAAAGAGCTCAAATTTTTGAAAAAGTTCCAAATTCGCCCCAAAATAGAGAAAGTCTGATTCGATATTAATGATACAACCAAGAATGTAGGATATTTTATACACTTCATTTTAGGACATTTGTTCAAAACGTGATCTTTGAATTTGATGAATTTTTTACTGATCTTGAATATGCTAATTTAGAATGTGTGCATTACAAATAGAGTCTGAAATTTAAAAATGTAAAGGACCTCTATGGGTTCTCGAAGTGACAGAGATGCTCATTTGGGAGGGGGGAGAGACTCATTCAATCATACAGTTAAGCATTAGCTTCGATGTTATGATAAGGTTCAAATAGACCCAATCAGAATCCTTCAACTACTATTCACCAAAATCCTCAAGCTTGAATGACTTCACACGATCTGCAACTCAGTCAAACTCTCGATATTCTGTACCACTCCCTGAAACTCTTTTACTGCTACTGCTACTAGGTCCAGTAATGAAGCTAGCAAATACATAGCAGCAGTCGAGTCTATCAAAATATCAAAGACGTCATCAATCTTAAAACAACAAAATATATCGATAGAATTGGAGCTGAGTAGCTTCAATACGAAACTGTACATAACAACTATCACATACCTGAACAGCCCGCAAACACAAACAACAAAAATTGAAAATTGAAAAACTCCATAGTGTACTATTCTGATTCTACAAGATCGAGTACTTACTCCATCTTCCCAAATCCCCAATCTGTTCCAGAACCATGCATATACGACGTGCAGATCCGCAGGAACTCCTCAAGAGGACAGAAAAAACGTTCAAATCATCGATACACATCACAGCACATGTATCACAGATAACACCCATGAATCCCTCAGATGAGAAGAAAAGATATGTATAATCATGAATGAAGGAACAAAAGCCTCGCGTACACTCGAACTCCTATCTTACAAGCAAGCAAGCTATATCCATATTCGCCATTAACATTAGAGGTATCGTATCATATCCATATATCATCTTCCATTTCACACCATGTTCATTTCCCCATCCGATCCCGTCCCAAAGAATTCATTAAAACCTATCACTCATCCTGATCCTGATTCTCATACTCACAAGACCAAAGCAACAACCCCCACCATTCCCATTATCCCCGCAACTCCAATTTCCATCCCCGGTCTTCCCACTCCACTATTTCCAGTCGCACTTGCACTCGGCGCAGAAGCAGTATTACTCGCCACAACGGTCGTAACCGTAGCCACAACCTCACTGAATGTGCTCGCCGCCCTCGTACTAGCACTCTTCGTCGTTCCTGGGATAGTAGTTTCCATAGTCTTTATTTGAACTTCCGTGCTAACAACTTTATTTCCCCCAATTGAAGTTGTGATTGTCGTCGAAACTGAAATCGTCTGCTGAGAAATACTTTCCGAAACAGTAGTCGCGGGAATCGTCGTAGCAGGAATAGTACTGGCAGGAAGCGTCGTCGTATAAGTAACCGTGACTCCGCCTAAGACCGATGCGGGAATAGCGCTACCCACTCCACTAGCAGTGAATTGGGATGGCATGGGGAGAGTAGCGGTATTGGGCTTGGCAGCGCTGTTGCTACTGTAGATATTTCCTGTTATTCCATCTTTATCTGTATAATCTCCTGATTCCAGATTGGCGGTAGCACCCGAGGAAGAACTATATGATCCTCCTACCACAGTTCCGTAACTATCATCTGGAAGATAATAATTGGTTGTGAATTGATCGTAGCAAAAAGGTATGCTTAGGGAGTGCATGGTGAGACATGTTAAAGAAGAAACGCAGCATAATGAAGCCGAGTCGCGTTTTTCGGTACTATGCTCTGAGGAGGAAGAAAGCGATCGTTTGCTTGCAGGTAAAGAGGAGAGAACGATATCTTGGAATAGATTCACGAAATCCGAATCGCCGATTTGTGGGGTAGTGGCAGTTGTCGCTCCGGCCGGAGAACAAAGGGTATATCCTTGTTGACACTCACCGCGAGACTTGAGTGCGGATGCTGCCGCCAATGCTGCAGGCGCAATAAATGCGATCAGAAGTTGATGGCGCATCTTGTTTGTATGTATAAGTGGTCGTGGTTAAGGGTGTATCAAATATATGATGTACAACCTAAGGTTTGTATGTATGTACTGGGTTTGAAGTAGATATTAGAGTAAACAACTTGAAGTAAAACTGAGCCACCTGGATCGGAAAGCGAAGTGTTACCTGCAAACAACGTACGACTCTTGTTCAAATTCCACGACACAATGAATGAATGTAAAAGGGTGGGATAGATTGCAAATTGCTAACAAAAACAATAACGAACGAATGACAGTGAATTTTCTCGCTGATACGTCTGAATTCCTTTCACAATATACAAATTTGCAATGCGACAATGTTAAAAGAGAACAGAGACACAGAAGTACTCGATTCAAGAAGAGAAAAGCAAAAATTTCCGTCAACCAACAGGAAGAAAGTGGCTGCTCGGGTTGGACAATACCGTGAACTCACTGAATCAAGTATGGCTAGTATAGATAGTACTTGCATGACCGGGACACGAGATCCGTTCGGCGTTCATAGGCCATAGATTTACTTGTGCCTTGCAGAGGGTCTTGCATTGTGCAGATAGATGGATTTTGTATGGACGAGAGGAAAGAAAAGGAAACAAGAAAGTCAATATTGACGGTCACATTATTGAGCGTTTCACTTTAGTTGGTTGGATCTGGTGGATGATGTTGATTTGCTTAGTCATGTGAGGTTTAGCTCTGGTCGGCTTTTGTTAAGGCTTGCTCTATAGGTTAGTGGGTTAAGGTTATTTTAAGGCGCGAATTGTGAATTCAAAGCGCTTCATAAGCGTCTGATATTTGTTGATTGCTATCCACCCCTCCCTCTGCTTCTCATCATCTATGGCCGTTTTATCCGTTGCACGTCAATCATCAAAGTGTCGGAGCATTATTGAAAGTTGAAAAAACCTCCGAGAGACTTAGACGAACCGGTCCATGTTAGGGGTTGAAGCGCAACCATTATCAATCTTGTAATCTAGACAGTTCTATGAGGAATGTTCATTATCTGACCGCAGCGCCACAGAACGACCATCAGCTCGCCATATAATTCCCTTTCTGGTATTGCTGCACCAGAGACCTCTTCAAGAGAATTGAGAGGTGATATCAAAATGTACATGTAAGAAAAAAAGGTCTAGGGAGTCCATTTCTAGCTTCGTTGATTTCTAACGTTTACTATCTCCATTCTTGTGCCCCCTCCTCCACCTTCTCTACCAAGTCAATCCAATGTCAAAAGCTTACTCAGTCGATCCCTCACATGTCGTGCTCCCATCAATCATGAAAATAAAAGTTATAAAACAAGAAAGCGTGGGTATACATAAGTCTCATCTATTCTTATAATCTTCGTTGCTCGTCACTCCTTTCTTTTCTTTATTCATCCACTGCCCCTCCGTATCTATATCCGTGTGCCCAACTCCGCTCACTCTTTCTCACGATGCTACCACCGCCAAACTCCCTTATCTCGTTCAATCATTCCACAACAATAGGTAATATCCCCAGGCTAAATCCAATTACACAATAAGCTCCCCAGTCCGCTCCAATAAATTTTCTTTACTCGAATCTCCACTAGGGTTTATTCATTTATTTCTGCCCTGAAAAAAACCATGAACTTCTCTTTGTGTTCCCGGTGCTTCCTGTGTCCGAGTTTTGCAAGTTTCCGATGATTGGAATTTGCGCATCACCACCACCGCCTCTCAGTGGTTTGGCAATTCGGCTTCCAGCGCCACCAAAGCTAAATCCACCCGTAGGTGAGCCTAGTCCACGGGTACTGCCTGCTTTGGCAGCCTCGAGACGTTCTTTTACCGCTGAAAGTTGGGCTTCGAATCTATGGTGAATGTTAGTAATGCTATTGATGTATAACTGGAAGCAATCGGAAAGGAACGCGGAAGGAAAGAGGGAATTCGAACCTGTGACTGGCAGTAGTCAATTTCTCTTGCGAATCTTGTAAAAGACTCTCCAAACTCTGAATCCGTTCATTCCTTGCAATCAACTTCCTCTCAGCAATCGCAACTTCCTTCTTCAAGCTGCCATTTTGTTCAACCAATTGTCTCTGAACATGAGTCAATTGTTCTAGATTTCTCTCCAAGAAAGCCATCTTCTTTTGTTGAGCTCTGTTGTTAGACGAACGGAGAACGTTGTTATATTGTTCGCGAGTCTCATCGAGGGAGATTTCTAGTTCAACAACTCGTTCACAACGATTTTGCAAGTCCCGCATCAAACTCTTCTTCATCACGTCGAATTCGGCGATCTGTTGTTGAACAGTCTTGCCGCTTGCTGAGCCTGGTGCTGTACCATTGGATGAACTGCCTGACTTGACTCTTTGTTGCAAGTCTTCATTCACAGCCTTGAACTTCTCAATCTCCGCCGACTTTTGAGCGACCTCCTTCTTGAGGTCTTCCACTAATTCGACCTTGATGTCTTGATTGTTGGAGTATGCCTTCTCGAGACGCTCTTTGATCTCAGCAACATCCCCTTCGCCTAGGTTGCGTTCGAGAAGGTCTTCGTATTCTTGCTCGAGGACTTGGAGACGTTGTTCTAACTCTTCTCGGCGCTTGACATTGGCATCATTCGACGATGAACCGAACATTGAAAGTTCTGCTTGTCGGACAATGCCCTGAGTCTCGACAAGTTTTGACTTCAATTCTTCAAACTCATCAGGGGGAATGGCTTCCCCGGCAGAGCTTTGCTCATGTAGAGAATCAATATGATCAATGACCTTCTTGATAGTCGCTTCGTTCTCACTGAAAACATCTCCGCCAAGATCAAATCCAGCCATCATTTGTGCCATCTTCTCAGCCTTTCTCTTCTCCTTCTCATCCAAGGCAGCAGTCGATTCTTTGGCGCTCATTTTTACATTAAGCAATTGCTGTTTGAGTTCGTCGAGCTCTGCGGTCAGTTCGGCGTTGGCTTCTTTCAAACTATCCATGGTAATTTGTGCCTCTTTGCTCTCGAATGCTAATCGCTCAAGTTGCATCTTGAATTCGTTTGCTTCACTAGTAAGTTTCTCGTTATCCTTGTTGACCTTGGTATCCCGCTCCTTTAGGTATGTGAGTTCCTCTTTGGTATCTCGCAAGGTCTTCTCTGCAGCCGCAATTTGAGTTTCCTTTTCCGTTATCTGATCCTGAAGTTCATTTTCACGTCGTAGGAATTCTTCTCTCTCGTCCTTGTCTATTGGTATACCTGGAGTAGCGGACCTTTCCGTCACCGGTGTCTCTGCACGACTTTCTGTTGCGAGACGTGAAGGTGTAGATGGCCGAGGTGCTTGAGCTGCTGCTGCTTTTGTCCCACTGACGCCTGCGAGAGGGGGTGCCCATTGCTCCTTTGGTACAGATTCTCCCTTACGCCAAAGTTGAACTTCTCCTTCAAGTGTAGAAACATAGGTTTCGAAGGTAGTGACTTGAGATTGAGCCTTTCTAAGTAAGGCTTTGAGTTCCGCTGGACTGAGTTCTGCGTTGACCTTGGCCTTATTCTTGATTGCCTTTGCTCGCATACCGAATCTCAAGGTACTCAGGGTTTCTTCGGCATTGTAACTACTGGGCGAGCAGTTGATAATGAGTGTTGTCCTACTATTTCCTCCTAAACTCTCTTGTAGAATTCTGGTAAGTTTCGAGTCTCGATAAGGAATATGCGATGATTTGCCGTCTGTCAGATTGTTGATAACCATACCAAGAGCACTCAAACTCTTGTTGATCTTCTTTGCCTCCTCCAATGTCTGTCCACTAGCACCAGTCTTCCCGACCTTTTCACTACCAGCCAAATCGACCAAAAAAAGTTGACCGCTCTTTGCCGACCCGGTTTCAACGTTCTTTTGTGTGATCGTTATAACGAATATAGAATGTGATCGAGAAGACTCTGCGTTCATGTTGGTCGAAGCTACCACTCTTGCATCCCCTCCTCTTTTCAAAACTTCGTAGACTTCTTGAACACTTGAAACGTAAACCTCTAATAGACCTTTAACGTAAACACCTCTATTCTTTTCTTCGTGGATTGGCAGATTGTCGTTCTGCGGCTGTAGCAAATCTCTAATGCGTTCCATATAGATTTCCATGTAGCTGACTCTCACTGTATACTCGATCGTACCTGGACTGGACAGAATGCTGGCGAATATTTGCTCCACAATTCTGGGAATAACACCTCTACCATCATCATTTTCAAGGTTTGTTCCCATCATGGTATAAGACTTTCCCGCTCCTGTTTGACCATATGCAAAGACCGTTCCATTATAACCGTTAAGAATATCGTCCACAGTGGGCTTGATGGAGAAGTCGAAAATATCTTTCTGCCGTGAGCTCATGCCAAAGACACGATCGAATGTGAAAGAACCAGCCGCTCCATTTGACTATCTCTGGGGTTAGTAGAGTACAGCATCTTCAGAGTGTTAAGTTCCACAAGACACATACATCAAGAGCGCAGGTATCATCAGCCTCGAATTTTACAACTGGTTGAGCACCCTGCTCATTCTCAATGCGATTCTGCGGCCTAAACCGACAGACAACCTTAATAGAGTTCGACATGATCGCGAGAGGGTTGCTATCCCGGAACGACCATATGTACAAGAGTCGAACTCAGAATTTGTGTTGTCGTTGCAGTTTTAAAGAACGTTGTATTGGAGTATTTGCTTTGTGGTCAGTGGTTGATAAGGGGAGGATGTTGACACACAATCGCGCTAAAGATCTTCGCGTAGTGATTCCCAAGGCCAATGCAATGTCGGAAGAAATAAATTTGTGTCAATGCAATGCGACCATACAGAAAAGGTTGCACGGTAATGACTAGGGATATGCTTGTATGAGGAGCAATATCAATGAGTTGTTATGATTGTCAAACAGTATCAGTAGCAATACTTTTTATACGGTGTGATGAATCCTGAAAAGCAAAAGAAAATTGCAAAGTAAATCCGTGATTCATTTTAGTCGATTTTACTGTGTTACCATAGGTACCGTAAGGCATGTTGTACATCGTCTACGATAGGTAAAAGCAGGTTGTCTGAACAAAATGATATACTTCAGAAATATCGAATAATGCTGTATGAGGTGCACCATGGTAGAAAAAATGTTGTCCTATTGACTAACTCTTCGAGAAAATAACCATGTAAACATATTGTGAAGGGAAACTCCATGATAGATGCCCTTTCGAAAACTCCATAACCCCGCCATGTCATCATTAAAAGAGGCGTAACGTAAATATGACCAGGTAAAGAATCACGTTGAATGTGCTTCAAAGCAGTTCAGCTACTATATGAGCTTCTCAAATGTTTGAAAATCCATCATCAATTATCCTCCCAACTCTTTTCCACCGTTTCCCTCACACGCTTTGTGTATTCTCTTCTGTTGTCTTTGTATAAGTTGGAAGCTTCGACATTGGCGGGCGAGCCAGTGTTTGGGTCATTAAGAAGACTACTCATAGATTAATACACATATCTGGAAACCAATAGACCATTTGCGAAGTATATATGTACCTTTGAATACTTGTCAAAACAGCCGCAACATCATATGTAGGGCTCCACCTGTTTTGCAAGATATCTAAACACAACTCTCCGGTTGCATAAACATTAGGATGAAACATCTGGCTGATGAACTTGACGGCAGGAGGCTTATTTGGATATTGTTCCTCGAAGGTCATAACGAGTCGAAAAGTTCCATCTTCAAAGGGAGTATCTGCGGGACCGATAATGACGGCATTCCTAATAGTTCCATTATTGGCATCAAGTCCATGAATGTTAGATTTTCTTCGAGGAGACTAACCAAAGCATCACATTATCTGCAACAGGAGATGCGGAAACACCAGCGGGAGGATCAGTTTGCATGCGCTGTAGATGAGAGTTAGACTTCCTCTCCAGTTATCTGGGTACCCCTCCATTCCTGGATAATGATTGCCACCAACCTTGAAATCCCGCATAAGACGACGACGAGCAGCTGTAGACATGATGGAGAATTGTGCGAATGGTAACCAAGAATCAGGATGTGGAGTTCTTGTTGGATCGAGTTGGACTTGAATGAATGGGAATGTTTTATTATTTGAGTGATAGCTTTGAGGTATGCCGAAAAGCAAGTTCTATCGGATAGATATTAGTGTCCGATGTGAAAGCCGGCGGCGGAAGTTTATGTGGGCTCCCGCAAACGATGGATTAATGTTGACTTTGTGCGATGAGTTTATCGGAAAGTTGTGATTGGAAAGGAATGAAATGACCAGTTCTAGAAAAGCAAAGAAGATTGCTCAATTCACTTGAACGCTTTTGACCTTATACAGAGACGTATTGGCAATTCGAATTTTCATTAACGATGGCCCAGTACGGTACAGCTTATGGACCGCTTTCATTCAACCCCTTCATGCAAGATTTGTCCACCAGAACCGCCACGCAAAACAAGGCTCGAGCAAGGATCCTTGAGTCGAGTTATCATAGAGTCACGTGGCGATTGTGAATACACGCTACCGCAGAATGGGCTTAGTGGCTCGAGAGCGGCTGTCTAACAATTACCCACGTGTAGGTCCGAGCATTTCACTCTGGGGTAAATGGAATACATTCCGCCGGTGCTAACCGCGGGACAATCGATGCTGAATATTGATCATAGGCAACTGACTACTTTTTCCTCCTTTCTTTCCATATAGTCTTTTGGATTGATCAACGCTCTCCTCTCTTGTGAATCCTCCCAACACATTCATCATGTTTTCACATACTGCCAAATCTTCCATTAGAAACTTAAGGATGTCATCTCCATCATCACGGTTAGCACAAGTTCAACGACAATTCAGCGCAAGTGCCTCGGCCAAAAAAGAGATTCAAGATGCATACATTTTGAGTGCATCAAGAACACCTACTGCAAAGGTATTTCAATCTACTCCAATATATCATCTAAACTTGACGAAAACTAAACGGAATGATAGTTCAATGGGTCATTTCTTACTGTGAATGCCCCTCAACTTGGCGCTGTAGCCATTAAATCTGCACTCGAGAAATCCAAGGTTCCGGTCGAGAAAATCTCAGATGTATACATGGGAAACGTATTGCAAGGTGGTGTTGGACAAGCACCGGCTCGACAAGCTGCGATATTCGCTGGTCTTCCTTCATCAGTTGAAGCGGTCACAATCAATAAGGTATGCGCATCTGGAATGAAAGCTGTTGTGTTAGCTGCACAAAACATCCAACTTGGTCTCGCAGAAGCGCAGATTGCGGGAGGAATGGAAAACATGTCTCAAGTACCATATTATTATCCTCGAGCTAGCAGTCTTCCCCCATTTGGAAATATACAAGCTGAAGATGGGCTTATCAAAGACGGATTATGGGATGTTTACAACCAATTTCACATGGGAGTATGCGCGGAGACCACGGCAAAGAAATATGAAATTACACGAGAACAACAAGACGAATACGCTATCCAATCATATAAACGGGCGCAGGAAGCATGGAAAGTCGGCGCATTCAAAGAGGAGATTGCGCCGGTAACCGTCAAGGGTCGAAAGGGTGACACTATCATCGATACAGATGAGGGTTACCTGGATGTAAAATTCGATAAAGTTTCTTCATTAAAACCAGCATTCGTTAGAGATGGAAGTGGAACAATTACCGCTGCCAATGCTTCGACATTCAATGACGGCGCTAGCGCATTAGTATTAGGAAACAAGGCCATCGCACAACAATATGGAACCGGATCGAGAGTATTAGCAAGAATTTGTGGCTCTGCAGATGCTGCAATTGATCCAATTGATTTCCCAGTGGCTCCCGCCAAAGCAGTGCCACTTGCTTTAGAACGAGCTGGAATCAAGAAGGAAGATGTAGCAATTTGGGAGTTCAACGAGGCATTCGCAGCCGTTATCAAGGCAAATGAAAAGGTTTGTCCCACTCGATCGGATTATTAAAGGGAAATACTTACACAATCTAGATCCTCGGACTCGAGAACGCAAAAGTTAATCTACTTGGTGGAGCAATCTCACTTGGCCATGCTCTAGGAAGTTCGGGTTCAAGAATTCTCACAACATTATTGCATCAATTAAAAGTCGGAGAATATGGTGTTGCAGCGATTTGCAATGGTGGTGGTGCGGCGACGGCGATCGTCGTACAGAGAATTGATAGCGTATAATTATGATTTATGGCATATGGACTAGTAGATCCGGGATAGACAATTATTAAGATCAAAAGAATTCATTAATTTATCACAAATTATATTCATTTCGTTGGCAATACTTCAATATCAAAATAGAACGTGAAACACAAACGATGTCGAAATTAAAGCTCCAAGGCAGCCCAGTTCATTCCCGCTTACCTCTTTACGCAAAGGGGGGGGGGCATTTTTCACATGTCAACGGAAGGAACCGAGATCCTGGAAACTCTATCCCACTTCGCTTGTGACATCATCGTCGCAATCAATGCGAGTGTTTGGCTTCAGCATTTGATTTCTTTCAGAGATGCGCGATTCATTCATTGATTCTGCAATCGACAATTCTTTTATCCGATTGACGGTACGACTCAAGATAACACGCAATTGCATTCAGAGAGTTTAGAAAGTCAATCAAAATGGATGATCCAAGTAAGTCCAAGATTCAAAATTCAAAATTGAAGGAATCTTATCCACACGCTGGGAGAGTCACAATATCATCTCGAATCCCCCCCCCCGCCCGTATGATCCTCCCGTACCCTCTATTCCATCTTTGCATTCACTGTCCTGATGAAATTCTTTCTAATCATTGAATATAGAATCACAAATTACATCTCTCATCCACACCCTCTGTTCCGGGGCTCCCTCTGCCCAGCAAGAAGCTTTGGAAGAGTATTTTACCCCTGACGCGTCGTTTTCGCATCCGCTGTGCTCGGTACCTTCTTTCTCTTCTGTTCGATTGCCAGTGGCTGGAGAGGTCAATAGTAGATGGGTGTTGGGGTGTGTGTATAAATGGTATAAGGTGTTAAGTCCAAGGGTTGTAGTGGGGGTGGATGGAGTTGGTGAGTTTCTCATGTTATATTCTTTGGTAGGGGTTTAAAAAGGAGATCAAAGGTGGAAAATTGAGGGGACTGATTTGTGCTAATCTTTTCTCCATTTATCTCTAGAATATAACCCTGAAACGCAAACTCTCTTTCTCCAACTACATCAACAATTCCACCTCTTCTTCCTTCCATTTTTTTATCCAACAGTATACCTAACCACAATCCTTTATCTTGCCCCCACCAAGAAATCTTCCGAAGACAACTCCTCAGCATCCGATACCAAATATCTTATAAAGCACCAAGAAGACCTCTATCAATCCGCAGAACTCGTGAAGTTTTTCTGGCCGGGAGGAACACAGATTATTAGCTTTTGGAGATTGATTGCGACATTGTTTTGTATACTTGGGGCAATGATATTTGCGCCGATGACGTGGATGGAGGAGTGGGGATGGTTTGGCAATGGGAAGGATGTAAAGAGAGGCGAAAAGAAAAATGTAGATGAACACGAGACAGGAGGTCGCGAGACTAATGGGGTGAATGGTTCGAGGAGAGAGAAGAGGAGGAAAACGATTAGTGGGTCCGGGGGAAGTATAGATAGAGTGATTTGGTTAAGATTAAAGTTGTATATTTTTCGGGAAGGATTGAATGAAAGTTTGGAATACGTTTGGTTGGATAGGGATCTATTGCTGATTTTACTATAAGAATAATTTTGAGCTTGCTCACGCACTTTAGCAAAGAGCAAAGAAAGTCAGAAAGTTCCTCTATCGACGTACGAGGATAAAATTTCAGATATTCAACAAAACTTCCTTCAGTACTGAAATAGGAAACTCATTTTGAGGTCCATACGAAAGACAAACTGCGAATGCAATGTTTGAAGGACAAGCGAATTGTGAAGCATACGAGTAAGTAGATTCGTACCTAGACAGATGGAGGTTTCTGAATATGGTGTCAAAAATGGGCTATTACTGTTACAACTCATGCACGGAAGATGGTAGGAAGCCAAAATAATACATGCTGAGTTTTCAATTAGATTTGCTATATAAATGTACTAGGTAGATATATGCTACTAATATACATTGTGGTATTTTCTCGTAATCTTCTGACATTTTATTACTTTTTTGGTTAATGATGATAGCATGTAATCCGGAAAATATATCCCCATTACCACCACTGCTGAATGATGCACCTTTTTTTTCCTCGGTGATCATTTGGATGTTCATAATCCTGTAAAAACTTGGTATCCCGTGGATGGTGATGTGTTTTGATAAATAAATTTGGGGGAGACTCTGGTTGGTCCGACTGGAGAGATTAGATGTTGAAGATTAATAGACGTTAAGATGTGAAGTGTTGATTGTGGAGAGGGGATGAGATATCAACTTGCCAGACAGCAAATACTGCTTTGAGATGTGTATTAAAAAGGTCGATGTAAGTGGAATTTTCAACCTAAAGTCGGCGGTACGCAGCGAGCAGTATCGATGACCCGATGTCGTTTTGTATGTTAAGACTACAGTCGCAGGTATCGAATGGCCGGAAGAGATGTGAAGATGGTGAATCAAGCTGATAGTAGGCGATCATTGCCATTAGGCTGTGTGTTAAAATCGATATCTGTAAAGACTGGAAGTTGAAGAAGGAGGTGATTTTTGCAAGTGGTATTCCATCCGACGTCGCTTTGTGTATCGAGGTTCGAACACCCAATTGTGGGTAAATCGATCGATATAATACTATTCAGGTTCAAGCTAACGGGGAAGCGGATGAAGCCTGCAGATGAAATGAATTAAATTGTGAACCCACACAAATGCTTTGAACAAAGCGTGCTCACATTCGCTTCAGATTGTCCCTACGCGAGGATCCGGACGCTGGGAACAAAAAGATTGAATGAGTGCAGTGATTGTGCTATCGTTCGTTTCTAGTACCGATATTCGATGAGACATGAGTCAAAATGATGGCAGTAAGTATATTATCAAATTGTTCGGTAATTAGAGGTTGACGTATTGCTATATCAAGGGCGACATATAAATGTCAATAGTTGTGAATGATAATGATTATTTCAATGGCAGTGACGATTATGACAAGGAGATTGAAATAGAATAGAAAGATATCATGGGATAAAAGACTTCTACGAAATTTCAACACTAGAGGTCTCATTGGACTGATCTAAGAATTTTAGTACGCCAAACTTGAGTATGGAGAGCTAACGTGTAAGATAGAAGTGATTGACTGCAGTAAAATCTATACTAGTAAAGGTTTTATGGTTAGTTTGTGCAATTGACGATCTTGGAATGCACTTGACAATTGCTAATTGAAATTTTGATATCTTTTTGCTTTTACCTCATTCCTACGCTTGGTGGATGACGATTACATAAACTGGCGAGGAATAGGGAAATAATATTGCAGATACGTGTCAAAAGTCTGGGGGAAGTACAATACTGGTTCTCAGTGCTCACTATCACAAAGAAGTTTAAAGTGCTAAAATTTAAGTCTAGTTGCGTCAGAGAAGAAAAAGTCGTCTGAAGATGCGCGATGGTTGAACTTGGGGCTTGGCTCTTTTTGAATCAACTACTTTCCTAGTGGTTCTATCCAAGTACAGTGAAAACTGATCGTCGCCGTGTGAGTTCACGTTGTGACGCTCCATTGTGGGTTCTCATGGAGGACGTTTTTCAAAATGGCTTCTCCAATTTCAAGCGAAACCTTGAGGAGACGAGATACTGTGTTCTTAGTCCCTCTGACGTGATACGGTGTGTGAGGTAATCAAGCATACCTGCTTTATATTCTCTAGGTACAGACGACGATATAGTGATTGGAGATGACGTTTGATTCAAAGGTAAAGCAAAAGATCTGTGCGCTTTTCGTTCATGCAGCCCTAAATTAAGCTTAATTCTCACGCGAGTGGAGAGGTGATTGATGGGCACTGGCAAAAACAGCTTGAAGGTGAATCTTTTCCTTCTTCTCAGATTCAACATGTACGTCCAGTTAGAAAGTCTATCATACAATTAATCATTGGAAACGGAAACTACTGGCCACGTGTCGATGTGACGCGATTCTGACTAAGCTCAAAGCCGACTGGTTTGGCTGCTCAGCCCAAGATTCTACCTCGAATTCCAGATATCTCAGATAGTCCGGTGACATAATAGATTAGATCTTTGCAATGCCTCTCACTAAGTCGTGATCTCTCTTGTGGCTGCTAAGCGAGCGATGTTAATGATATTGCGAACCCAGGTAGAGGTGTGAGCCCGGCCTTATGCCTCTACGATGATGATGCGCGTAAATCTAAATTTCATCATAGCACGGGTCGTGCTTGCATTCATTAGCTACGCAATGTCTTCTTGCTGTTAGAAATTGAGTTTTTGAGATACCGTTCCAACAAATTCAACACCAAGGTGCCAACATCACACACAACTCGTGGCGCATCCTGCACATCGCGGACGCAAAACCGTCGTTATAAACAGCAAAGGATTTTGCTATAGTGGACTAGCAATTATCCATGGTATTCTATTTTTTTCGAGTGATCAATGTCATAACTTAATTGTTGGATTGGAGAATGCGCTTTGATAGGACCGATTGATTGATATAAAAAAACTCTGGGAAAGATGATTTGGGGGAGTTCGTGATTGCTTCTTGCATTTCAAGGGACCGAATACTGGTATAAAAGAATCAAGACTCAAATCCTGTAACTCGTTCCATACACGCTAAAGCATCACTGATCAACACTCTCGTCTCTCGATCGCCATCGGCGTTCCTCAAGCCCTCTCTCCAGATATCCCACCTCTCCCAACTATAACCGATCCATCTCTTCTTCTCATACAAGTCTCCACCAGCTCCAGTTCTGTCTGGCATACTTTTCTCATTGACGACGTTTAACCACAGTTTCTCGGCTGCAAATATAAGCCACCAACATGCCACCCGAATTACCAAACCCTTACTCTTTCCTCCTTTGTTCTCAAATGCATCACGAAAAACCCACAACGCAAAAAGTGAGAAGTCAAGGGTTTCAAATTCATCAGATCTAGCGCTGACCTCACTTGTTGCTAAAAGTTGCGCTAGAAATGCATTTTTGTTTTCATACGAAGTCTTTTCTCTGTTTGTCAATATGGAGGAGTACGTATCTTTGTGGAGAGTTAATTTTATAGACAAATGATCAATTATGAAAAGGTAAACAACGAACCCGTGTTGAAAATCTCACGGGCCTCCCACCCGAAGCCTGGCAACTGTCTCCATAATTCCATGTCATAATACTTCAAAACTTTCGACTGAATCGTGTCTCTATCCACAACTTCAATCTTCTGAAGACCAAGAATGAACTCGATTAGTTTAGATTGTTGATCAGGTGATGTGCGAGCGACGAGTACAAAAAGTGCACACCATGTGTCATGAGGGTGATCTCTGAGCAGATCGAATCCATTCGCGGGGGATGTCTTGTCATTTGCCCAAATTTCTTTCTCTGTATTAGCAATTGTGTTCGAAGTGAGAGCCGAATGAGCATCGAGAGCGGAAGACACATTGAAGGATGGGTCTTGTATGAGAGGTAGAAGAAGTACAAAGTGAGGAGTTTTTTCAATGTGGGCGATGTTTTTCAACTTGTTCTCCTCATATGCCATCATTCTTCTCTGCTTGCGGGATCTAGGCATACTTGTGTAGAAGAATTATGAGTTGATTGCAATGTAAAGAACAGAAAAGATGGTAGACCTGATCTGATTTCAGAATCCCAAATCCCGCATGCATATACGAGACACGTGACATCTAATCTTATATCTACCGCACCAAGCTACATCAGTTCATGGCACAAACATCTGCTGGATGTAACAAGCGTTACAATGTGACGGTGGAATGGCAAACATTCGAATTTCTTTTGCTATCAATCCTGAAGGAGAAGGATAAAAGAAGAGAAACGCAGAGTTTATCTCTGAACATAGAGCATTCTTAGTCTAATCGTCGATCTTTCGACAGAGCGTTCCAAAGTCACTTCAACACATATAGTCGATAAATTCGTGGTATATGGAAGGTCGAATCACTGGTCAATGTCAAGTCGAGGTAATTTGCTTTAAAAATAATGAATTCATCGCATCTCCCCACCATATTGAGTAGATAACCAGCAGTAAAAAACTCCCGTCTCATCGTTACCATCAGCAAAAAACTTCGACAATCTAACTTTCAGAAAAATATTACAATCTTTGCGCCAGCGGCTCAGGTGAGAGAAAGAAAAATTCCAAAGCTTGATCGAAAATTGTTCAAATACGATCAATTCTATCTGCAGCCATCTTGAGCAAAATTGCCTCCTTCGGGCAGTCGTTATCCCAGAAGAGGTATTATTCACTTAAAAAAGGACGTTGCACTTCTACTTATCTGCCATTCTCATCATTACCTAACATTCAATCAACTTTATGATGGTATTTCCTCAACTAATGGAATCTGGCGCATCCATTTAAGCTATATACTTGTTTCTTGTCAAGACCTTTGTCCGCGAATGCTCCAGGAACCATCCAACCCAGCTACAAGGAAAAGAGAATTTCTAGAGCATGGCAGATAAACAGACTTCCGGCTTCTCAACCATATCAACTCTATACTTGCAATAAACAAGTAATACTTTAATTTGTTAA